CGTGTCGGACTAGTGCCTGTTTACTCTTACTCCATCAGGGGCCCTTCCCTCCCCCATGTCAACTTTCAGTGCTGGCCGCCCGGCAGCCCCTACTGTCCACTGTCCGCACCGAAGTACCGGTGTGGCTCACGGATGTTCTGTTGAGAACCTTGGAGGTGGTTCTAGAGTCAGTCAACCAACAAACGGCGATGGAACACAGATGGATATTGCTTTAAGCAATCCCTCATTGTCACCAACCAGTGAAAGTGAAGGAAAAAAAAAACTAAAGAAAGAAAACTAAATAATACATGCCAAGGGGGAGAGAGACACAAAATCCGCAGCCTTACACCTTAACCAGCTGCTGCATAATTTTATTTTATTTTATTTTTTTGGTATTTATTCATCAGGAATTAAAAAAAACAAAGTTTTATTAAAGATTGAAAATTTGATACATTTTACAGGAACTAATTGTGATGTACATATGAAGTGGTAACATATTATTACTATTTTGGGGCCGGGGTGGGTGGGTGGGGTGGAGAGAGCTTGTGATTTTTAAGAGTCTGCCGGCAAGAGTTTGCCTTGCCGTCAGCCTGGTCTACTGTATCCCGGCATCCTCTGCTGTTGCGGACGGTGCGAATACACTTATGGAACTCACAGAATCCCAGTAGCACAAAATTGGGCTTTGGCAAATCATGTATTTTGTGTATAGAGGGAATCTAAGGAGAGGAATTGCTTATTTTCATATTGTATTTTAACTGTTTCTCTGATCAAAATTTTTTTACTTCCTCCTCCTGTTCCTCCCCCCACCTACGCCCACCTCCCCGCGGTTTCTGGTTCAGTCTCTGGAGTTCAATGTCTTTTCAGTCCGATCATCTCCGTTTTTTTCTCCTTCCCCTCCCCGCTCCCCCTATCTTTGGTCATAAATATTGCATTATTCATCCTTTCAAACTGTGTATTTTCTTACAATAAAAAATGATGAAGAAAAAAAGGCTTTACTCCTTTTGCATGCACCTTAAAAAAACACACTTAAAAAGAAAACCCACATTTTTCAGGTTCCAAGGAAGAGCATGATTAACTGTCAGGGCTTTTAATTATATTTGTAAATAAAAGTGTTCGTCACATTGCCTGGCTGTGTTCTTGTAGCAGGATTTCCCTTCTAGGTGCCTCTGGGATGCCTCTGAGGGCTGAGCCCTCCTGGAACCATACTCCAGGGCTTCCTCCCAGAAGGATGCTGAGGTAAAGCCGAACCCTCCAGTTTATTCTTCGGGACCGAGATGGAGGTGCGCATGCTCACAGAGGCCGGCCCAGTCTCGGTGCCCCTACCTTAGAAGCTTGAGCCACACGGGATCGCAGACAAGAGGACTGAACCCCATGAAGAAGAGCAAACTGTGGAGGAGGTACCGGAGCGTTCCCATTGGAGACTCCCACTGTAGCACAGACCCCACCCCTTCCTGGTCTCCTTTCACTAGAGCAACTATGTAGTGAAAACAACTTCCGGGGTGTCTCACACCTGTCACCTTAGCTCTCAAACCGTGCATACTGAAATTGGATTTTGCTTTCTTGTTATTATTGTCTCTACGGTTTCTTGTTTGTTTGTTTGTTTCTGGTCTTCCCACTTTGGTGGTTTCTTTTTTTCTGGTACTCACCATGTAGACTGGGCTGGACCCTGGAACTCACAGAGATCCTTCTGCTTCTGCCCCGTCACCTCCCCAGAGTCCTGGAAGGATTAGAGGCGTGTGCTGTCCCACCCAGTCCTGTTTTGTGTTTTCCTAATTACCTGAGAGCTGGGCTGCTTAGGCATGCTTAGCCAAGCGGAGGTCACATGCAGTCTCCCATTCTGCAGGGCTGGGGACTAAGTTCAGCCTCCTGTGTGCTAGGACTGTACCAGCCCCAGCCCCAGCCCCAGCCCCAGCCCCAGCCCCAGCCCCTGCCAACACTTCTCTTTTAAATGAGGACCTAAGGACCATTCTTGGACCCTAAAAGCGAGTGAGTTATCAAGTACATGTGTAACCTGTAAGTCTCATTGTGACAATCTAGATCTGAAAGTGTAAAATTACAAATAGTTACTAACATGGATTAACTCCTCTCTATAAAGCCCAGGGTAACAGCTTCTCTGACCACTCAACCCGTTAGTGTTTATGGTCAACACGCTGACGCTGGAGGAGCCTGGCATGGTGGAGCACACTTTTAATCCCAGCATTCAGGAGGCAGAGGCAGGCAGATCACCGAGTTCCAGGAGAGCCAAGGCTGTTACACAGAGAAACCCTGTTTCAAAAAAACAAAAGACAAACAAACAAAAACCAGATATTAAAAAAAAAAAAAACACTCACACAAGAACAGGGCAGAAAGCAGAGTCCTCCCTTCCAGCATGTAGTAAACTCCCCAGAGTTTAAAAAGGATTTTTAAAAAGGTTTATGGGCTGGCACGATAGATTAGTGGGTAAAAGTCTGATCGTGTGAGTTCAAACCCTACAGCCCACTCCTGCAAGGAAGGTCCCTGGATTCCAACCTTAGAAATACTACGGAGCTGTGGACCAGTTGTGAGCCAGCGAGAGGGCTCAGCAACGAAGGAGCTTGCTGTGCAAACCTGGTGAGCGTGAGTTCAATACCTGAACAAGTCATCCACTGACCACACACATGCTGTGGTGCACACCCACACATTATGCATGCATATGTGAATGTATACAAATATACACAAAATAACAGGATCAGATTTTAAGTTAATACTGGGCTGTGAGCCTTGTTGTACTGTGAGACACCTGTTGTGATGGCTAATATTATTACTACAGGATCTAGAGTCAAATCGTAAGGGACAAGCACAGGCCTGTGAGAGCTTATCTAGATTAAGGTAACTGAGGTGACATGATCCACCCTACTTGTGGGTGTAGCCATGCCATGGGCTAGAATCCTTAACTGGTACAGTTCTAGCACATAGGGGAAAGTGAGAGGAGTTCATTTCTGTTTCCTGATGGCAGATGTCACGTGACAGCTGCTTCACGCTCCCGCTGCCATGCCTTTCCCACCATGATGGACTGCACACTGCACCCTCAAACTGTTGTCACTAACACTCTTGTGTTCATTCCAAACCCTTATATGTCAACCAGATCCACTTTAATCATTATTACATTTCTTTCTTAAAAAAGATTTATTATGTATACAGTGTTCTGCCTGTATGTACTCCTGCACACCGGAAGAGGGCACCAGATCTCATTATAGATGATTGTGAGCCATAGTGTGGTTGCTGGGAATTGAATCGAACCCACGTCCTTTGTAAGAACAGCCAGTGCCCTCAACCTCTGAGTCATCTCAACAGCCCTTTTTTTATAATATTTATTTTTTATGCATACATGTGCTTGTCTGCATATATGCCTGCAGACCAGAAGAGGGCATTGGATTGTGAGCTGTCCTGTGGGCACTGGGAATTGAACTCAGGACCTCTGAAAGAGCAGCCAGTGCTCGTAACCACTGAGGCATATCTCCAGCCCCCATTTATTACATTTCTTACCTTGTGTATGTGTGCATGCCCCTGTGTGCCACACCTCACACATGAGGGTCAGAGGACAGCAATGTAGTCAGTTCTTTCCTTCCAGCGTGGGTGTCCCCCAGGATCAGATTTGGTGGCAGTGACTTTGCCCACTAAGTCATATTGCCCAAGTCTACACCTGTTTAGACAAGGAAGCAGAAGACTACTTTGCCCTCATCACTTTTTAAAAAACACTTTCCACAAAATCTACCTATCTTATCCCACTCTTCAGGCCATGTTCTCAACATTTGCCCAAGAAAGTACTAGGAGGTAGGCTAGGTGTAATTCCAGAGACCCAGGGAGGCAGAGGCAAAATTGTAAGTTCAAGGCCTGCCCGAGGTATATTGTAAGGCCATACAATAACACAGTAAAGGTACCCTTCCCCATGAGCCCAAATCACAGGAGCCTTCTGATACAGGGCAGGAGCTGGGAGCCTCCTCCACCTGCTCCTCTGTGAATGACCCAGAAAGAGTGTGCATTTCCAAGATACTGACACAGCCTTTCGCCACCACGAAGGGGAAGGCTTGTGGGAAATGTGGGTAGCACAAGGGGGTCCTGGGTCCCATTCCTGGCACCAAAGGATGCAATAGGGCTGCTGTGAGTTTGATCAGCATCTTGCAGGATTATTTTCCCAGGTGGCAGTGCTGCTTTAGAGGGCTATGAATACTTTAGAGTTATGTTTCTGGTTGGAGGAAATGGCCAAAGGCTCGGGCCTTTGAGAGTTCTTGCCCAGCTGATTGCAGCCTCATGCTGTCTGCCCTGGTAGGATGTGAACCCCCTTTACAGTCCCCCCACCACAGCCGGGGTCACCTAGCTATGCTTTTCCTGCTGGTCAGATGTCACAAGGGTACAAAAGCAACACGTGTATTTGACAAGAAGAACTTGTCGGAAGTGAAGGTGCTTCCTGGCCTGAAGCAAGCCTGTTTCTCTTTAAATACTTTTTAAGTTCCATTTATGTGTGTTTGGGTGCCACGTGCCAAGGTCCGTGACTGAAGTTGCAGTCGTCAGGTTTCTCCTTCCACCATCTGGGTCCTAGGGTTTGAACTCAGGACATCAGGGTTGGTGACAAGTGCTTTTGCCTGCTGAGTCATCTTTGTGACCTTTATTACTTTTTATGTAGCCCAAGCTGTCCCCAGGCTCACAATCCTCCTGCCTCAGTCTCCCAAATGCTGGGGTTACAGATCTGATCTACCACTCCCGGGCCAGGCTGAAACCTGGGGGTTTGAGGGTTTTTTGCTGTTGTTCTTGTTAGACAGGGTCTCACTAAGGAGATAATGAGGCTGGCCTAGAACTCAGAGAGCCACCTGCCTCTGCCTCACAAGTGCTAGGACACAAGGTGTGCACCCCCACTCCTGACTCTGCGAGCACTGCAGCCACTGCCCTCCCTTTATAAGCACCTGGAGGGGGAGGGGAAGAGCATGGCTGCGTGCCTCAGAGAGCCTTGACTTTGCCCATGTGTGAAACCCAGACGCAGCAAGGAAAACACGTCCATGTCTGAATCCAATGCCTTTTAGTTTTATTTGACGATAAACAGACAAGATTAGCACACCCAGCAACTCCAGTGACTTTTGCTCCCGTTACTGAGAAGCAAGACTTAGCCCCTCTCTCCATGGCCACGCCTCAGCAAAGAACCCCTGTTCTTTGGGGTTACAGGACAGCGACACCCGTGCAGCCGCCCGACCACGCTGGACTGTCAGCAATTGACTGAAGTGGAAGCCTTGGGTTGTCTCAGTGGGGGGGGACTCTAAAAACAACCGTGCCTGGTTCTGGACACAGTCCTTGTCAAACCATGCACAGACAACACTAGCCCTCACCCCAGTGGGCCTGCTTTTGGCAGGGTACCTTGCTTTTCAGAGCTGCGCTTCTTAAATTAACAATAGGAGGGCTCTATCAGAACACCAAACACCCCCAGCTGAGCCTAAATTTGAGCAAACATAAGCTGGGATGCAACTATTAGAATCATAAGAATGGGCAGCGGGAAATCACCCTAACCTCTACCCTAGCTCAGAACTCCCCGCGAGGAGGTAGGAAGGAAAGGAGAAGAAACAGCATGCTTTGCACAACTTGACAATACTGTGGGGAGTCCCCAGGACCACCAGGCTCCACAGCTCCCCTACTTCCCTGAGAGCTGCTCATACAGCTTGGGCACATAGTCGTCCCACTCCGCCTGGTAACAGGTGCCCGCCACGGGGGCTCCCAGGTGATACTTCTTGCGGAAGGCCGCCACCTTGAACTTGCCACGGTGATCTCCTGACCTGTTGCTGAGGATGGGTTCGTCACAGTTCAGTGGCTTGTCCTGCTCATACACCAGCCAGACGTAGCGGTGGAGGCCTGCAGGGATAGGCAAGCATCACCAGACAGTAAGTTTGGGGGTGGGGGATGCGCCCCTGCCAGGAATACTCTTGCCTAACATGCACAAATCCCTGGCTTGGTTTTCTACTAGGCACAACACAAACGGAGTGTAATGGGGAACACTAGTAACCCTGGCACATGCATCAGAAGTTCAGGCTCATTCAAGTATACCAAAAGTTCAAGGCTAGCCTGGGCTACATGAAACTATGTCAAAATCACATGGTTTTAGCCACTTGTTAAAAAGCTATTTACAAGTATGAGGATGGTAAAGAGAAATGGCCATCATCCATCAGAATGCTGGAAAAGGAAGCCACGGTATGCCACTTGTCACAAAAGCATCAGTGACCTTCAAGGATTTCACACAGACTCACAGAAGTCTCATACAAGCTGACTGGGTATAGAACATCCATTTTTGGAGACTCCAGAGCAACTCTTAGACCTGCAGCATCTACCCAGGATGGATAGAAACCCCTGCCAAGGAGGAACAGCCAGAAGGCACACAGTGGCTCTGTTCACCACACCTACATCCTGGCCACAGCCCAAGTGCCCAGCAAGAGGAAGGCCAAGCCACGAGGCACACAGTCACAAGGAATACTAATTAACAAAAGGAAATGAACTAGAAACTAGAACCTGATGACTCCCACTCCGAGGCCCCTTACCAGGTAACACACCCCTCAAGCTCTGCCCAATGGCAACAAGGTGGCCAAAGTGACCCATGGAGGCAGGTGGCAGAAAATGCTCTGGGGAGCCACAGGAACATTTGGGGTGACAGGAAGAGGCTCCATCCTTCTGGAGTGTCCAGATGCGTATGCCTCAAATCCTCTGCCTGGAACTTCCCATCTCATCAGTTTATTATGCAAACTAACCCTTCAAAACCCAGGAGAGCTGCTGGGGTTTCTAGTCTTCAAAACAGAGCACGCTCCTGCCCGAGAGACTCGCTTTACTCCCCAGCGTCTCCAGCTATAATTAAATCACCTGCTTTTGTAGGTGCCCTGGAGAACCGTAGAGTCCCCAGGAAATTTGTTTCTTTGCTCTCCTGTTATGAACATGCAAGAGGCCTTTAAACCATCTGGAAGATTCTGGGCCCGCGGCTACACCGTAAGCCACAAGCAACGGTCCTTGTCCTTATTGGTATGCATTATTCCAGTTAGTTCTCAGGGCAGAACAATGCACAAAAGTTCTCATTCTGCCATGCATCACCCGTCACCCCCGTGTCCTTGTTCCAGCGAATGAGAACACCACGTAACAGGCAACAGGCAGTAACTGTGTCTCCCACCAGCTCCGGGGTTCTTGTGTGACTTGGGGAGTTTCTATGTCGAAGTTGACTCTCACTGACTCACACTGTCCATGTAAACACAAAACGCAGTGCGTGTTCAATGCGGGTCGCTAGAGCAAGCATGCATGTGCATGTGTGTCTTCAATGTGGCTCACTACAAATCTTTTCAACCCAACCACATTTTAGGGAGAAAGGGAGAGTTATAAAGAGATATACAAGGCAGTCTTTGAGCATTTGTATGAAAACAGTGATCCTTTCCTGTTTATAGGACCCGAAACTCCCAAGATCAACAAAGCAGAACTGAGACAGAGACCAGAGGAGTTCAACTTCGTTTGCCCCACATACAGCCCGCAGAACCCCACTCCAAACTCCCACAGCACTGCCTGCTCTCTGCACCCCTGCTCGTTAAAGACACATGACAGCGCAGTGACAGAGAGCTTATGAAGTGTCGGAGGGTCCCGGCTTTGATTTTACAGGACCACCAAAAAGCATACACTGATACCAAGAAGTGACTCTACAGAGGGCCCACCCCATCAGAACCCCCATATTCCTACAGATGGCGACTGCACAGGGAAGGATTCTCCAGGGAAAGCAAGAAGCAGGCTTGTGTCTCCCTGAGGGTGAGACTTAGAAATATACTGGGCCTGTGGCCGCCCCCCTGGGCCAGCCCAACACTCACGCGGTCTCCTCTCACACCCTTCCCCTGAAGCAGATTTACTGACCTGTGCCACTGGGAGGCCCAGAGCCCACGTAATCTGAGAGAACTTTGCCACTGCCGATGTCATTGCCCTTCATGTTGACCACCAGAAAATGGTGCCACTCCCTGGAGGGAGAGAGAGAAAACGAATGAGGGACTGTGAGCACCAGTTGACAGAGGTGCACGGAGCACCCGCCCCATGCTGGGCTGCAATGGCAGAGGATACGGTGGGAAAGCTTACACGAGTGAGAGGGATGTACACAGAGAAAGAGAACTCCATTTATGAGGCTGAGGCTCCGGTAGGCTTCCTCCCCGCACTACAAACCATGCGGGAACTCCAGATCTATGTGTTCCTGTCTAGCAAGGGACTTCCACTAGACAGGTCACATATGCATGACTGCCTCTCATCTTTTCCCCAACTTGCCTGAATTTGGGGTCCTTCCTGCTGGGAGCGTCGGGGTCTGTGAGGACCAGGGTGTAGAGTTTTCCTGGGTCAAGACCATCCCATGAAATGCTGCTGGGCCTATTCTTAACCTGTAAGAAGGAACCAGTTTGAGGTTAAAAATTCAGAAATGCTCTCAAACTCAACACTTTGCAGCCTTTTACTGCTAAAAGGTGGTAAAACATGAGGGTTTTTTTTTGACTTCCTTTTACTAAGGATACAAAAATAGTTTCTTATATTTTCATCCATGTACTCTACTATAGTCTGCAACAGATTAATGGAAGTGCCTAAGTATGGTTTCTACTAAAAGTGTGATGCTTGGGGCTGGAAGAGACAGCTTAGTCATGAGAACTCTTGCAAAGGACGGGCATTCCCAACACCCATGGGGAGGTGGCTCTTAACTGCCTTTAACCCCAGCTCCAGGACATCTGATGCCTCTTCTGACCTCCAGAGCTCCCTGCTCTCACTCACATATACCCACACATCGACACAGTTAAAAGGAAAACAAATCTTAAGAAGCCAGAAGAAACCAGATGTGGCCCACACCTTTAATTCCCAGCACTTGGAAGGCAGAAGCAGGCAGATCTCTGAGTGCAAGGCCAGCTTGGTCACACAGTGAGTTCCATTCCAAGCCAGCCAGAGCTACACAGCGAGACCCTACGTGTCTGTCTGTCTGTCTGTCTGTCTGTCTGTCTGTCTGTCTGTCTGTCTGTCTGTCTCTCTCTCTCTCTCTCTCTCTGTCTCTCTCACACACACACAAATTCCATTCCAGACCTCCCTCCCTCCTTCCCTGTCTCTCTCTCTCTCTCTCTCTCTCTCTCTCTCTCTCTCTCTCTCTCTCACTCACACACACACACACACACACACACACACACACACACACACACACACACACACCACCAGCCTTAGCAACATTATTCCACGTTACTAAATGGTGGGACAGGTGTCCAACCATAGCACCAGGTCCTCCTCCACAACCTTTTATTGGGGTCCTGAGCCACCATGCCTTTCAATATATAGTAGCCAGCTGGTGTGTAATCTGCCTTTACTGAACAAGTTCAAGAGCCCAGAAACCGAGAGCACCCAAGGACACCCACAAAGTTTGGGACAATGGAGACCGGCCAGGCCTCCCGACAGAAACTTCCAAGTCACCATCCGAAACCCTGTACTCTTAAGTACACGAAGAGAGGGGTTAGACCTACTTTCTCTGAGCGCGGAGTTACATCTGGGGCTTCAGTATCTCACCCACCCCCAACAGCAAAATGGATTGTAGTGGGAAGGCGCTGGCCCTGGAGCCCTGCGAAGTGCAGGCCGCTCGCTGGGGGGTGGCTGCAAGTTCTGGACTATTCAGAAAGGTTACATAAGATTCCTCCGGCTGTCGGGTGGGACTCGTGTCGCGCAGCTGGGGCTGCAAAGGCTAAGCCGGGAGGCCCTGAGTGTGAGGCCTGCTCCGTCCCGCTGCTCCCGGGCCTCCCCCGCCCGCAGGCCTGCGCGGTACCTGGGTGGGCGTCAGCACTTTGCCCAACTCGTCCACCTCCACCCCGGCGTAGGCGACCCGCAGCGCGTGCTGGGGACGCTCGTCCACCTCCTGCAGGCTCAGCGGCCCGGACCACTGGCTGATGTCCGCAGGCATGGCGACAACAAGGGCGAGCACACACGCGCTGAGTCCGGAGTGCCGCGAACCCAGGACGCTTGCGCAATTATCCGCCGCTGCTGGACCAATCGCAAGCAAGGCAGCGCCCCTCCTTGCCCTCTGATTGGTTGATCCGGAGCTGGGTGGTCCAAGCGCCAGGGTGAGGGCGCACCTTTCCGCGCCAGCGCCTGCAGGGCAGCTCGTTCAATCTTACGGTTTAGATTTTTTTTTTTTTTTTTTTTTGCGGCTTCGTTGCATTTAAAGGACTCTTTGTCCCATTTCGCAATTCCCAATGATAAGGCCTTGCTTTTTCTCTTGAATTTCTTAAAACGAGCGCGATTTCTTCCCTACATTATCTTTTGTTGTTTTAAACGTTTTTTTTAAATGACACCGAAGTTCAACCCCGGAGGAAATCAATGAATTTGTTGGGCTCATCTGCAGAATGCGGGTGACCCCAAAGCACCAGACTGAAAGTTCTGCACTCAGCACACCGCCCCATAAATGCCCACACTGGAACATTTCTTTAATAAACTTTAAAAACTAAACCGGTAGGCCTGCAAGTTAGGTCAGAATTGCATACAAATAGGGGGGAGAAGTGGCTGGATGCTTCAACGACAACCCCCACCTCCTATGAGGGACAGTCAATAGTCTACAAGCCCCTTCTTGACGGGGACTCGCCTAGTAGCCACTGCTGAGCTCGTGAAGATGGCGGCTGCTTTTCTCAGACTGGAACGGACAGTGCCACTTTACAAGACTAAATGGAATTCAGGTTGCCAATCAGATAGCCTCGGAATATGGCTATTCTCTGGGTGGTTCCCGGGTCATCCCAGGGGTCCTGAAAGAGAGAAATGGAAAGCGGAATTAACAGGACCACACTGAGAGGGATGAGCAAAACTGGACCAGCCAACCCCAGCTTTGCGGTTAGACAGCTCAGTCTCCAGAGGCTGGAAGCGGTCAAAAAATGGATGGGCCTCCGGAAGGAAGCATGTTTTTAGGATTTAATTGCAACCCATCTTCCTGGATTTTCTATAGTGGTGTATCTAATAGACTGTAGGGGACAATCTATCCTCCATGGAGGACACAAGCACTGATATTTTTTCCTATTTATTTATTAATTGTGGGGGGCGGGAGTGGGGTATTGAACATTATTGCCACAGGTCCCACTATAGAGGTCAGAGGAAAATTGTGAAAGTTCGGTTTCTCATATTCTACCATATGGTGTCAGGGATGGAGTTCCATTGTCAGGATCGGATGGCGGCAAATATTTTACCACTAAGCCACCACCACAACCACACACACACACACACACACGATATTTTGAACAGAGAAGCTATAATGATCAACAGGAGACCCTCTCTTATAAGAACAATGCCTCCTGGAGGGAGTGTGAGGATCTGTGGGCTCACGAGGCTCCTACAAAAGAAAGATTAGAAAAAAATAGTTTTAAAGCCGGGCGTTGATGGCGCACGTCTTTAATCCCAGCACTCTGGAGGCAGAGGCAGAGGGATCTCTGTAAATTCGAGGCCAGCCTGGTCTACAGAGCCAGTTACAGGACAGCCTCCAAACCATACAGAGAAACCCTGCCTCAAAAAACCAAAAAAAAAAATAATAATAATAATTAGTTTTAAAAAAGAAACTCATGCAGCATATACTACACACATGAGGAAGCGTGTCACTGTGGGGGTGGGCTTTGAGGTTTCCTATGCTCAGGATACCACCCAGTGTCTCAGTCGATTTCCTGTTGCCTTCAGATCAAGATGTAGCCAGCACTATGTCTGCCTGCATGCCACTATGCTCCCTAGCATGATAATGGACTGAACCTCTGAAATTCTAAACAATTAAATGTTTTCCTTATAAGAGTTGCTGTGGTCATGGTGTCTCTTCACAGCAATAGAAACCCTAACTAAGACAGCACAAGAGTACATATGTGATGTCTGAGGAAACCAGATTAGGGCATCAGAATCCCTGGAACCAGAGTTACAGGCAGTTATAAGCCTCTAAAATGGGAGCTGCAAACTGAACTCAGACCCTCTGTAAGAGCAGCTAGTACTCTGCTCTAACTGCCAAGCCATCTTCCTGGCCCCTGAAATGTGTATTTTAAAGCAATTGCCTGATTGCCTGGTGTCAATGAATCCCTAATGGTGTGATCTGGAGTCAATTGTTGGAGATCCTGACCGCTCCTTTCCCTCCTCATTCCATGGCCCAGGAAATTGCCAAAGCCCTAAACCCAGCGAAGAAAAGACAACAGCCATGTGGCCTGCTGTGAGCAAAGAGTGGCTTGAGATGTCTCCAGGATCTGGAACAGAGAGACCATCAGTGAACCTGAGTTAAGGAGCTGGGTGTCCCTGCAAATGTCTGGAAAGCCTCCTCCTTCTCCAGAATCAGAGACATGCCCTAATCCTCCAGGTTAAGGTGCTGCTGTGGGGGAATCTAGGGAGCTCCCTGTGCAAGCACAGACTCTGGATGCTTGCTGATTTGGTCAGAATACTGTTCTGTATGGTGTCAGTCAATCGTGTGCTACTGTAACAAATACCTGATACAGTCAACTTATAAAGAAAAAAGGCTTAGCTGGACTCTGTTCTCTCACCTCCAGTAGCTCAATGGGCTGCAATCCCAGTAGCACACTGGCCTCTGAGAGACATTTAAGGTAAAAATGATTGTGGGGGCTGGGGGAGTCAGCTTGCTGGTTCACTCACTTGATTCTCTTGTAGAGGACTTAGGTTTGGTTCTCAGCATCCCAATGGCTGCTCACAACTGCCTGTGACTCCAGTTCTAGGAGATCTGATGCCCTCTTATGGCCTTTCCAGGATCCTGCATGCACACTGTGCACATAAACTCACGTAGGTGCTGGAACAAGTGCTCACACACACAGGTAAATATTCAGATAAAAACTGTGGGCCTGGGGATGTATAAACTGGATATAGTAGTGCACATCAGAGATCCAAGAACTCAGGAGGTGGAGGCAGGAAGGCCAGAAGTTCAAGGTCATCTTTGAAGCACAGCAAGTTCTAGCCAACTATGGACTTCATGGATGCATAGAGGACATCAAAGCTCTTTGTCCTATGGCTGTGGTCTGCAGTCAGAAGCTGCCACTGTGAGGGACAAAGGGTAAGGATCTACTGTGGTCTCAGGACACATAGGAGCTGCCTGCTGGCCAAAGACCCAGACTGAGAAGTGGTTTGGAAATTAATTGTATGGTCTCCTGGATTTCTGTTTCTTGGGATTGCTGTGTGTGTGTGTGTGTGTGTGTGTGTGTGTGTGTGTCCTTACTAATCTCAAAGTTGCTGAAAACACACCTTATACTCTCACTGGCACCTTAAAAATTTCCTTGAAAGCTGGGCAGTGATGACACATGCCTTTAATCCCAGCACTCGGGAGGCAGAGGCAGGTGGATCTCTGTGAGTTAGAGACCAGCCTGGTCTACAAAAGCTAGTTTCAGGACAGCCTCCAAAGCCACAGAGAAACCCCGTCTGGAATAACCACAAAAAATTCCTTTAAAGAGTCAGGTGATGCATGTTTCTTTTTGAGACAAGATGCTATGTAGCCCAGGCTGGCCTTCAACCAGCTACATAGCTATCTTAGGGTTTCTATTGCTGTGAAGAGACACCATGACCAAAGCAACTCTTATAAAGGAAAAACATGTAACTGGGGTGGCTTACACTTCAGAAACTCAGTTCATTATAATCATGGAGCAGCAAGGTGTGCAGGCAGACATGGGCACTGGAGAAGGAGCTGAGAGTCCTACATCTTGACCTGCAGGCAACAGAAAGTGGTCTGAAACACTGGGTGTGGCTGGAGCATATAAGACTCAAAGCCCATCCCCACAGGGACACACTTCCTCCAACAAGGCCATACCTATTGCAACAAAGTCACACCTCCTAATAGTACCACATCCTATGAGCTTATAGGGGCCAATTACATTCAAACTACCTCAGTAGCCGAGGCTGCCCTTGAACTCTCCATCCTTCTTGTGTTTAGTTGGTTGTTCAGATACCACACAGCTCAGCTCTGTCCTGAGCTCAGTTCCAGCCTCAGTTGACCCCTTAGAGCAGTGGTTCTCAGCCTTCCTAATGCTGTGCCCCTTTAATACAGTTCCCCTGATGTGGTGACCCTCAACCGTAAAATTATTTTTATTGCTACTTCGTAACTGTAATTTTGCTGCTGTTTAGAGTCATAAAGTAAGTACCCATGGTCTCAGGTGACCCCTGTGAAAAGTTCCTTCAACCCCACAGGTTGAGCCACAGAAACTGAGAGGTGACAAATCTGTGTTGTCTCCAGCCTCCAAGTTTGTAGTGATTTTCTTTCACAGCTGTAGATGAGCAAGAGCACCTCTGCCACCTGCAGCCTGCTTACATCCAGGCCAGTAACTCCACTGATGGAAGGCGTCTATGTCCCAACACCCCCACTCCTGTGGACAAGGTCTCACTGTGTAGCCTGGCTGACCTTGAACTCACAGAGATCCATCTGCTTCCCTGGCTCAAGTACATGGACTGAAGGTGTGTGCCACCATTCCTGGTCTTTTTGGGTTTTTAAGGTTACATTTACTTATGATTTATTTATGCATGGGGGAGCAGATGGGGAGTGGTCAGGGGACAACCCACAGGAGTTTGTTCTGTTCTTTCGACATGTGGGTCCTGGGACTCAAACACAGGTTTTCAGGCTTCACAGTCTTGACCTACTGTGCCATCTTGCTGGTCCCTGTTTTGAACTTTTTTGGGGGGAGGGGGTTGGTTTTGTTTTTGTTTTTGTCTGTTTTGGTGTTTTGAGGAAGGGTTTCTCTGTGGCTTTGGAGGCTGTCCTGGAACTAGCTCTTGTAGACCAGGCTGGCCTCGAACTCACAGAGATCCTTCTGCCTCTGCCTCTGCCTCTGCCTCTGCCTCTGCCTCTGCCTCTGCCTCTGCCTCTGCCTCTGCCTCTGCCTCTGCCTCTGCCTCCCTAGTTCTGGGATTAAAGGCATACACCACCAATGCACAGCTTTGAACTTTTTTTAAAAAAGGTTTATGTGTTTATTTATTATGCATACAGTGTTCTGGCATGCATGCCAGAAGAGGGTATGAGATAGATGGTTGTGAGCCACCATGTGGTTGCTGGGAATTGAACTCAGGATGTCTAGAAGAGCAGCCAGTGCTCTTAACCTCAGAGCCATCTCTCCAGCCCTTCCTTCCACCTTTTTTTTTTTTTTTTTTTTTTTTTTGGAAAAGTATAGTCTTGCTGTCTAACCCAGGCTGACCTAGAACTCATAATTCCCCTGCCTCAGCCTCCGGATTGCAGGGATCATAGATACGGAGTACCAAGCCAGGGCACTGTTATAACACTGACCACAGCTGGCTATTCGCTGACCTTTACAGCTTTGTGGCATATGAACAATGCCTACACCATTGCAGACATCCCTCTCAATTGAGGGGGCAAAAATTTATGCCATATCAGTGAACACCGTGCACAGATGCATGGTCAAGAAAAAGTGTGTGCTGTATCAGTCACTTAATTCAAACAAACTCCGTCTGTACATATCAAAACCTTATGAATTTGCTATAACATTCTGTGTCCTCCGGAAATTAAAGCAGTTGGAATTATCAAACCCCAGCAACCTTGGATTTACTGTGACCTCCTAGACCAATTGGAACTGGGGAGAGGATGCTGTCATTAAAATCCATCCAGAAGTTCAAGGTGAGTAAACAGAGACATTGGGAAACACTTGAGAGTACTAAGTCAGTCCCTCAGGGCGGTGACAAAGTCCTCAGTGGACGCGGGAATAGGTTTTTGCTCTTGTTAGCCTGGCGTGCAGTCAAACAAGTTCATTCATGATTATGTGTTAATGTAGAGTTCGGTGGTTCTCAGCCTTCCTAACGCTATGACCCTTTAATGCAGTTCGTGTTGTGGTGACTCCTCCCCCCAACCATGAAGTTATTTTTGTTGCTACTTCATAAGTGTAATTTTGCTACTGTTACGAATCATAGCATAAATATCTGGTATGCAGGGTATCTGATGTGAGACCCCTTCTAAAGGGTCAGTTGCACCCAAAGGCTGAGAACCACTGCATTAGACACAACTAATTGGTGAATGGTGGGGTGGGGTCATTTCCTTGTTGCCACAGAGATAGGGAAGGTTTCTTTGGCTGACCTACAGAGATGACTAAGCAGTTAGGAGTGCAAGCTGCTTTTCTAGAGGACCCAGCACCCGCATCAGGTGGCTAATAGCTCCCTGTAACTCCCATTCCAGAGGGCCTGGCACCTTGCTCTGTTGGGGCCTTCCTGGATGCCTGCACTTCACAGACACAGGCAGATTAGAAGTACAATCTTGACTTTTCTCATAAGCCAATTAGGCATGCACGATGCAGTCAGGAGGTCTCTCGGAGAACAACAGGGACAGCATTTTATGTCAAATTTTTGGGCCTAATGTCAGGGTTAATAGCAAATGAAGTGAAGCCTCTCAAACTACTTACATCATCTGTCCTGGGCTTGCATGGCTCCCCGTCCACTCAAAGGAAAGACCTCACAGAGCTGGGCGTTGGTGGCACACGCTTTTAATCCCAGCACTCGGGAGACAGAGGCAGGCGGATCTCTACAGAGTGCAGAGTGAGTTCCAGGACAGCCCTGTTTCAAATGAGAGAGAGACAGAAAGAGACAGAGAGACAGAGAGAGAGAGAGAGAGAGAGAGAGAGAGAGAGAGAGAGAGAGAGAGAGAGAGAGAGAGAGAGAGACAGGAGAGGGAGAAAAGAAAAACGAAACTCAGACATTAGAATCTCAAGGCTAGTGCTGGGAGTAGCTCAGTGGTACAGGACTTGCCCAGCATCTGTGATGGCCTGGATTTTGTCTCTGGCACTCCACTTAATTAAGTAATTTAAAATTCTAGTAGCTATATGTCAAAGGCAAAAGAGAAACAGGTACGATTCATTTCAATAATAGATCTATTTAAACTAATATTCCAATTATCATTTTCTTCCATATAATTAATTTTCAGGCTGACGTGATCAAAAGAAAAGTGGGTTTTAATTAAATTATTTATTTGTGTGTTTGAATTTTCTTTCCTTTTTTTCCTTTTTATTTGGGGTGGGGGTCAGTTTGAGACAATCTCACTATATAGCTCTGCCAACTTTGAACTCACACAGATCCACCTGCCTCTGCCTCCAGAGTGCTAGGATTAAAGGCGTGTGTCACCACACCTGACCTATGTTTGATTTTTTTTAAATAATTGAATAATTGTTTTTTTGTTTTGTTGGTTTTGGTTTTTCGACAGGGTTTCTCTGTGATGTTGGAGGCTGTTGTCCTGGAACTAGCTCTTGTAGACCAGGTTTGGTCTCGAACTCAAAGAGATCTAAATGCCTCTGCCTCCTGAGTGCTGGGATTAAAGGCATGTGCCACCACCACCTGACTTTAAATAATTGTTGCATTTATTCTTTTATCTTTTTGTGTGTCCCAGCACACATTTTGTGTGTGTGTGTGTTCGCCCACATGCAAGCATGCATACTCGAACACATCTGCACCATGGTGCTTGTGGAGAAGTCAGAGGACAACTTTTAGGAATAAGTTATCTCCCACCAGGAGGGCCTCCAGGATCCAACTCGGGTTGTCAGACTCTGGAGTCGACAGTGTCTTTACCAGATTGGCTACATAACCAGCCCTTTTTGTTGTTGTTTTGAGACGGCATCCTTTATCCCAGGTTGAAATTGAACTTGGTTTGTAGCCAAGATGACCCTGACCTTCAGATCCTCCTACCCTCCCCCTGCAAAGTGCATAGTCATAGCTCTGTGCAAGTGATAGGTGCACATTACACCCTGATTATACAGTGATGGGGTCATAGGTGCCCCATTACACCCGGCTTAGGCAGTGCTGGGTGTGTTTTATCCAGGATGTGGTTCAGGCTAAGAGCAGGCACTCTGCCTGCTGGGCTGCATCCCTGGGCTTTTAGGTCTTCTCTGAAGCTAGGGCACTTCCGGGGACTTGGGGAAAGGCTCGGCTTGCACACAGCTGCAGGACTGAAATCTTTCAGGGGACAATTGGCGGCAACTCCCCACATGCTTTCTTGTGCCCCATAACATCTCATCTGAGTCTGCCTCTGCCACATTATGAAATAGACTTTTGGTCTTTGTTCCATAATTCCCGGGATCGTTGGGCTCTCAGAGAGAGTCTTTTTGTTTGTTTGTTTGTTTGTTTTGTTTGGATGGGTAATTTAGAAGCCAGAGAGACCAAAGGAATGTTAGAAGGTGAGGACTTTCACCCTTGGCTCCCTGTGGAGTGAAGAGAGGTGGAAGGTAATTGATTGTGTGTACAGAAACTTTCTCAAAAAAATAAAAAAAGGAACCAGCAGAGGCATAGCTCAGCGGGACTGAGACAAGCTGACCTCGGGTGGCACCTAGGGAGGGCATGGGAGCTCGGCACTGGTTCCCACAAGCCTTGCCTCACGAGATCTGCTTCTAAGGGTCATTGTTTCCTCCATAGTATTCTTTGTGATAAAGGAGTCATTGCAGTAGCGGTCTGTGAATGAACAGAGCCGGAAGAGGAGGGATTGTAGGAAGGTTAGAAGCACTAGGAAAACAACCCCCACTTTGGTGACTGCTGAAGTCGGAGACTGGGGGATCTCCACCTGCAGGTAATGTCTGTATTGATTGTGCATGGGGAGAGCTGCTGCCCGTTCAGCCACAGCTGTGATTTCATTGAGTGGAATCTAGGAGACTAAGTTGGGTCTCTTTTTCCTTCTCCATACTTGGAATCCTCCAGGAAACCTCAGGAGGCTCCAAAAGCTGTGCTGTTCTGTCCCCCGGGGCGTAAAAAACAGGAAAGCGTTTAAATGCCCCCTGGGTGAAGAAAGTCTGTAGCTGTCACAAAACAGCTGGCCTTTGCATGGTGGCACGAAGAAGACCCCAACTATGTTAAGTGAGAAAAGCAATTGGCAGAGTTAACAGCAACCAACATGGCAGGGTAGAACCACTAAGAGGGCTTGGAGAGGAGCAGACTTGCAGCTAAGCCTGGCAGCCTCGTCCAATCCCCAGGGCTTCACTCCCACAGGGTAGAAAGAGAAAACTAACTCTTACAAGGTGTCCTCTGACCTCCGCACTCAAACCCTGAGACTTGGGACCACAGCCAGCTTTTAAAAGAGCAGGTTGTGCTGAGGTGGTGGTGGAGCACGCCTGTAATCCCATCACTCGGGAGGCAGAGGCAGCCGGATCTCTGTGAGTTCGAAGCCAGCCTTGGTCTACAAGAGCTAGTTCCAGGACAGCCTCCAAAGCCACAGAGAAACCTGTTCCGAAAAACAAAAAACAAACAAAAAGAAATGAGTGGATATTTTAAGACGGTAGTAGTTGGGGGCAAATAAATCACGTTTGGGAGGGTGAATGTCTCTGTCTCCAGTGTTCACAGACAGGAGGGCCTTCCTTGAATTATCCAGCGGAATTACTACATTGTGTCCCCAGCTCCGAACAATGGATCCGGGACTGTGGGATACATTTTATACAATCAGGATTCGGGCTGTGGTGGAGTCTTGGCTTTTCCCATGAGCTGTAGCCTTGAATGAGATGTTTAGTAACTCTGGGCCTGTCCTGGCTCCTCTGGACGGCAGTGGCTATTGGCTGAACCGAAATATCGAAAATTCTTTTGCGTTTCAAGCATCTTGTTATGATTACTGTTATCTAGCCGGCCTTGGCTGGGGGTTCCAGAGTCCGAGCAGGACTGAGAGCGCCACCTGGTGACCAAGTTTGTAAGTAAGACGGTGAGTTAATTTCGTTTTCTCTCTCTTCTCCCCTTCTCTAACAGCTAGACTTGGTTGTCGACTTCACACACCTCAAACCTGAGAAAAGGGTCTTTCACCTGAGGATTGCCTCCACCCTACGGGGCACATGGGCACATCTGCGGGGCATTTTCTTGATTACTAATTGATATGGTGGGGCTCAGCCCACGGTGGTGGGTCGAGGCAAAGCCACTAAGTAGTGTCCCCTGGTTCCTTTTGAAGATTCCTGCTTTGGGTTCTTTCGGTGATGGACTTCAAAGTGTGAGCTGAAAGAAATCCTTTCTCCCCAGTTTGTCTTTGATCATAATGTTTATCAGAGCAAACAAAGAAAACTAGAATACTTTATTTATTTATTGAAACAAGTTAAGTAGCTTGTGTTGGCCTCAAATTCCTGATCCTCCTGCCTCAACCTCCCAAGGGCTGGAGAGCGTGTGCATCATATCCAGCTGAAACAACGCATTTATGATTCCAGTGTAGACCTGCAAGGATTAGCTTTAGTTACTTTGTTGTTTCTTGCGTGTTTTTTAAGCTTCTTAAAAATATGTTGTAAGGTTTTTTTTTTAAGACATGGGTCAGCTTCCAGAGGCTTCTATACCCTGTCGTGCCTTGGAAAGCTGGAGGGAAGTGACCGTGGGTGTAAAAGGGAAAAAGCAGGACTGAGGGGTGTGGCTGAGTCACTAGGGGACTGCCCGGCGATGTAGCAACTGGGTGTGGAGGTTCAGCAACTCCAGCAGGAAAGAGGTGTGCACAAGAGGAGCATAGTTCAAGGTCACCCCCTACTACACAGCCAGTTCAAGCCAGCTTGGGCCTTATGCCTGACGGGGAGACGGAGGAAGGAATGGCAGGGGGGGAGGGAAAGTGTTCACACAAGAATAGACTCACTGTATAACAACCACTCTCAAGCTAACTGTACCTGTCTAGAACGTGATTTATCTACTCTAGTGGCCTTAGCCCCTCCCAGGAAAACAACATTAGGAATTAAGGTTTCAGGATACAAGCTTCTGGGGATACACCCAAACTATAGCATGTGCTCTGAGGGATGGGGGCACATGGAGGCCAAGGTTAACATCAGGTAATGTGGGATGCGAATGTATTTTATTACCATTGGCTAATAAAGAAGCTGATTTGGCCAGTAGCTAGGCAGAATATAACTAGGAGGGAAATCAAAACAGATACAGAGAGAAAGAAGGTGAGTCAGAGAGACACATGTAGCTGCCGGAGGAGCAGGATGCTAAGCAGAGGTTTCAAAGACACTGCTTGGCTACCCTGAATAGTCTTCCAAAGCTGTGAGGCTGGCGACGGTGTCTGGCAGCCTCCTTTAACCAGGGGACATTGGTGGTTAGAGTGTGGACTCTGGAGTTAGCTCTTGCTAAGAGGAAGAATTGAAAGCCAGGGCAGAGGGCATGGCCGAATGGAGCAGCACGCAGGTCCCACTCCAGCCCAGTGGAAGCCTTAGACACAAGGCTCCCCTGTTTACAGCATCCTCAGATGTCAGTTTGGGAGACACTGAGGGCAGAGAATTTCTATTTGCCTCTGTGTTGCTTGAGGCATTTAGGATGTGGGTGCAGATTCTGAGATCCTTCACTAGACAAAAGAACCACCCACCCCCACCCCCACCCCAGCCACTAGAGACCTGCAGAGTATTGTATCCTCCCTGTAGTGCTTCTGGGTTTGGCCTGCACAGCTAGAGACAGGAGCAGCGGGCCTCTGGGAGGTCTGTCTTCCTCGTGTATCCTTGTCCTGTAATGAGACTAGCATGTGGCTTTGTTGTTTGTTGTTTTTCGGGTAGGGCTACGTCCCATGCAAGGGAAAGGGTCCTAACTCGGATCTGGGACATCCTGCCATGCAAGTGTATTGTTAATCTAGCCAACTTGACTCAAGTATTTAATTTTTTATAACCGGTTTTTCTAATGTACCAGATTTTGAATATTATTGTACATTAAGCAAGTTGACTTTAAACTTGTTTTGGGTTATTTGCTTCAGGCTTAACTTTGGTATCGACAACATATACAGAAGACTATGTAATGGGAGATGTAAATTGACCCCTCCTCCAAGCTTGTCCCCGTAAATGAATTATATTTGTACTTAACATAGCTGCAAACATCATTTGGAGCACATTAAAGAATTTGATCATCTATAAGATGACTGATATTACCTTTTATGTCTTAATTATTTTTAACAGTTTACAATAAGTTAGTAACTTTTTTGTTTTTGTTTTATTTTAGTTTTTACGAGACAGGGTTTCTTTTTATTGTTTTGGAGGCTGTCGGTCCAGCCCGGCATCGAACTCACAGAGATCCGCCTGCCTCTGCCTCCCTAGTGCTGGGATTAAAGGTGTGTGCCACCAAGGCCCGGCTTTAATTAGAAGTTTTGTTGTTGTTGTTTTGTTTGGTTTTTTGGTTTTTTTTGAAGTTAGTAAGTCTTACAAGATTGAATTTTATAGTTTTATCCCGTTAAAGATTTTGAGCTTTGCCGGGCGGTGGTGGCGCACGCCTTTAATCCCAGCACTAGGGAGGCAGAGGCAGGCAGATCTCTGTGAGTTCTAGGCTACGCTGGACCGACAGCCTCCAAAATAATACAGAGAAACTCTGTCTTGTAAACCCCCCAAAAAAAAGATTTTGAGCTTTAAAAGTTATAATTTTGAGTCAGGCGATGATGATGGTGCACACCGTTAATCCCACCACTAATGATTGGTTTGTTACTTTTATGTCTGTTTGTCTATCTGTCTATCATTTGGTTTTTTTGTTGTTGTTTTGTTTTTTGTTTTGTTTTTTTTTTTGGAGACAGGGTTTCTCTGTGTAATCCTGGCTGTCCTGGAACTCACTACGAAGTAAACAAGGCTGGCCTCAAACTCAGAGAGATCCATCTGTCTCTGCCTCCTGAGTACTGAATTAAAGGCATGCACCACCACGACTGGCTAAATTTTTCAAAGGAGATGTGATAGGCAGTATCTTGGATATTTAATCAATATATATATTGACAACAACAAGCAGCCTGTTAAAACTATGATGTTACAGTAAGGGCAGTGGTGGTGCACACCTTTAATCCCAGCACTTAGGAGGCAGAGGCAGGTGATCTCTGTGTGAGGCCAGCCTGGTCTACAGAGCAAGCTCCAGGACAGCCAGGGCTACATAGAGAAAAACCCTCTTTTGAAAAACAAACAAACAAAAAAACTATGATATTGGAGTTGCCATTGAGAGATTTTAGACAGAGTACCATTTGTCCTTTTCCCATGTGAGCATCCTATTAGCTGGTTTCATTACGAACACCTTATACCACAAGATAAACAAGAGCAGATTCTATTAGAAATAGTTTCCCTCTTAGCTGTTCTCAAGCACATAATGGCTTTTCCCCTGGGCTGTCTTGTTGTTCTCCTCCCTGTCACAGAGTCAGGGAGCCACCCTGACCTAGGAAGGCAGCCTTGGTGGAAACCCTGAAACAAATATGCTTGGGTCTGAGGCAGGCAGGCCAAATCCCATCTCCAGAAACAGCTTTGTATCGAAGAAAAACAACACGTGGTGTCTCAGTATTATCCATACCCAAAAGACATAGACTAAACCCGTGATCTACATCTCCAAAAGCAGTTTGTGGTCTGTAGATGGGACAGACAACCTGAAAAGTACAAGGAATAGTGGATAAGTAGAAATAAAAGCAAGAGTAGGTAAGGCAGAAACAAAGGCATAAGGTAAAGATGTCCTAAGAACAAAAATACCATGGTATCTCTGGGGAAACAGGCTTGGAGATGCAGTAGAAACATCGGGCATAGGACCAGGTTGTAAATAGGAGCTGAGGGGCAGGGATGAAATGGGTTAAATGAACTTGGGGGGCAGGGTAATTGGTTGGGAGGAGTCTTGATTCATTTGCCAGGTCTTTTGCACAAGTTGTCTAGATCTGTGAGAACTTCAAATTTTAGCCAGGCAGCAGTGGTACACATCTTTAATCCTAACACTCAGGAGGCAGAGGCAGCTGGATCTCTGAGTTCGAGGCCAGCCTGGTCTACAGAACAAATTCCAGGACAGCTAAACCTGTTTTTTGAGGGGGAGGGGAGAACTTTTAGAACCAGTTTAAAGATTTGGTTTAAATTTGAGATGACAGGCAGGACTGGTGGAAAATCTTACCCCACTGCCTGAGGCATCCCCCAGGTAGGGAAGGATGAAAAAGGCATGTCCAGGCGCCTAAGACTCACAAATTCAGTTAAACCTGGGAGGTTCCCAGAACCTCCAAGACTTTCTGATCTGGAGAAGGAGTGAGATGTTCCTGGGGCTTCTGGGGTCTGGTCTGGGTGCTCCAAGTCAGACCCTGAGGGAGTGTTACCTTGTCCTGCAGGACTCGGGTGCAAGATGACAGTGATCAAACCATGAAAGGCCTCTCAACCTGAAGGTCAGAGGGTCGGGGAGGCAGACGTCAGAGGAAGGGATGGAGGAAGATGGATGGCAGGGGACTCTGGAGGGACAGAAGGGCTGCGGTCAAGCTGGGTTCACACAGGGCATCAATAAAGCCCCAGGAACCAAAGCTCTGTCCATGGGACTTACTTGTACTACTTACTCTTGGAGGTAGAGGTCACAAAAGACCAGAGGTCTCAGGTCAGACTGGTGGCTGTTTAGTCTATATAGCCATCTTAGAGGGTGCCCATGTCCCCGTAGGAATGACGACAGGATAGGAGGGCTTCCTGTCCAGAAAACCCTAAAAGGATCTCAGGTTTCCATACTGAATGTAAGAAAAATGAGGCAGAGAGGCTGACAGACTGAGAAGGTATTACTGGGAACACTTAGGGGACTTAACCTTTCCCAGGGATGAAGGCTGAGTGCATTTAGTGGGACTGGAGGACATGTTACATATACCTAGGTAGCTACCAGGAAGTTACAGCTCTTTGCTTTCTGTGGTTTGACTGGGAGCAGAGTGGGGTTTTCCATACAGGGCCATACTGTTTCTACAGGTGGAGCCGAACAGTCAGCCTGCAGCCAACAACTCTTGCTGGGTAGGGTCTGCTGCCCAGTACAGCCAGACTCAATTTTTTTTAAAGATTTATTTATTATGAATACAACATCCTGCCTTCATGTCTGTCTTCAGGCCAGAAGAGGACACCAGATCTCATCATAAATGGCTGTGAGCCACCATGTGGTTGCTGGAAATTGAACTCAGGACCTGGAAGAGCAGTCAGTGCTCTTAACCTCTGAGCCATCTCTCCAGTTCCGAGCCTGACTCAATTTCTAATGACCGGAGGCTATTACCCAAGGCTAGTCAAGTGCTCTAACATTGACCTGTACCCCCAACCTACTCAGCTTCCACAGATTCAGACATAGGTCAAGCTACATGCCCCAGTTCTTAGCAAAACAACAACCTTCTTGGCCACAGATACATGTAAATAGGCATGTATCTACTTAAAGTGCAGGAGAGGGGAACCAAGGTTAACTACCCCTTGGTTCTCTGTCTAGCTCCCAGCAGGACTCTTTTATAAGAGCTACTTGGAGTTATCCTGACCAAAAAAAAAAGAGAGACTTTCCAGCCGTTGGGCTCAGGGTTGTGGATAAGTGTGGCGTATAATCTCCCAGAACCGGCTTGGCTGCTCTCACCTGTTAGCTTGTGCACCTGGCTCATCCACCTCTCATCAGCCTCCGGGCTCTGTTTCCCTGGGACCTGGAGGGTCATCTTCTGGTTCCTCCTGAGAGGGGCAATTTCACTTTCTTCCTTCCAAGTCCCACAGAACTTCACCATCCTGGTCTCTGGTCCAGAGAGGCTGGGTTCGGCTTCTAAACAGCAAGCTCACTTGAAAACTCTGTTTCCTGCCCTACCCTGCCAGCCCCTCTTCTTGGAGGTTTGCCTGTTTATCTGCCTTTTTGTTTCTCCAGAATCCAGGCAGCTGCAGCTGCAGCAGGTTTCCACCTAGGCTGGTCCCCACTGGCCCCAGAGCCCCAGAGAACACTTCTAGGTTGTTGTTAAGACCCATCTCAGTCACCTCTAGGGACAGGAGTAGGGCAGAAATAATTGGCACAAAAATGGCTTGCCTGAGTTTTCAAAGACCCAGGCCACTGATGCAATCACTGCGAACCAGCTACAACCCAGGTCATTCCCCCCACCCCCTTGACATCTAGGACTAGGGGTGTGGCTCAGTGGCAGAGGACCTGTCCAACATGCAAGAGTGCCTGGCTTCCATCCCCCGCCAGCACCCCAAGAAACAAAACAAAGATGATGCAGCAGCCCAAGACCTGGGTTCAAATTGTGACCCTTCTATTTACTTCTGGAAAGTAGGAATGGAGACATACACCTCTCTGGGTAGCCAAGGGCTGGGTAACTGAATGCACATGTGTGACTAGGAGCTATACGTATCTCCAACAGACAGGCAGATGGGGAAATTCTGCCTAACAGAGTGTGGAGATCGGAAGCTCTCTGTGTCTTCTTCACCTTCCTAACCGGAGACAACAGCCTGGAAGTCTTTTTCTCCTGCCAGCAGGGCTTGCTTATGGCTGTCCATATAACATGACAAACTTTTCCTGGGGAGATACAACACATCCTAAATAGGGAACCCAGGACAGACCAAAGTACAGATACCACCAGAGTCCAATTTCACGGACCAATGAGTTTTATTGGGTTTCTGGCAGGAGTATGGGTGAAGGGTTACTTCCAAGAATGGAAATGACCCAAAGACAGCTGCATCACCAAAGTCCATCCCGGAATGGGTGACAGTTCACAAAGCTGGGCACCTGGAGCACACTGCATACACAGCCTACCCAAGGGGTTGGACTTCAGCATCCCTGAGCACTGTCTCTGCTCTGTGGGGACATACTATGTGCCGTGTTGTGTGTTTCTTCACTTTTAGTTTTGTTTTTCCCCATCTTGTGAGATTTTCCCTGTCTTTTAATTCATTAATTGGTGGTGGTGGGGAACCTCAAACCAGACAAGACTAGCCATGTGTAGCAACCTAGACAGAGGTATACCTGCTCCACAGCTCATATATATATATATATTTAAGACAGGGTTTCTCTGAATTGTTTTGGAGGCTGTCCTGGAACTCACTCTATAGACCAGGCTTGGTCTCGAACTCACAGAGATCCACCTGCCTCTGCCTCATGAGTTCTGGGACTAAAGGCATGTGCAACCAATACCCGGCTCTAGCTCATATCTTATCTTATTCTATTTCTACTTGTGTATATGAGTCACTATACACAGGTGCCACATGAAGGTGCCCTGGGAGACCAGAAGAGGGGGCTGGCCCCACCGGAGCTGGAGTGACTGGCAGTTGTGAGCAGCCTAATGTGGGTACTGGCACCAAACTCAGGGTCTCTGCAAGAGCAAGAAGTACTCTTGGCTGCCAGATCATCTTTCCAGACCCCCACAATCCATACTAGATTGTGGGATTTAGGGTCCTGGCTCAAATGAAATTCCTATGACAATGCTTAGTTCTGTCTATCAAAATGTTGGTTGATTACTTTGGGGTAAGTTAAAACACTTTATCCTTAGGTCCATAAGGGTCTCTTATTGTTGCCTCTATCTTGCCTGAATCCCCATGGGGAGCCCCAGCTGTCCAGTGAATCTTCTTGGCAGGGCATCTTTGACTCTCTGGGTGAATGCCAGGCCAAGGTGTTTCCCAACATGGCCCTTGGACCTAAATCAAAGGGGTGGCTGTTTCCTCTCTGTGATGCCCAAGTATCTGGACCTATGTTCCCTTGGCCTTAGTTGTCCTGGAAGAAGTGATGGTGTTGGAACTTGGTTGAACAGGGTCTGGGGGCAGATAAATGAAATCTAGTCCTGGTTTTTACCAGAAACCAACTTGTCTTGGAGAGCAACTCTGGGAGTGATAGACTGTACCCAGTATAAAGGGGCTGGATGGTATCTCAGGTCCAAGGGTTGCAGAAACTTTGTGGTTGAATCAGCAAGTTCCCCAGGCCTGCTCTCCGAAATTTCCCTCCCTGGGCACCATGAGGTTCCAGAATATTCCAGACTCTTACTTAGCCAGAGCATTGCTGGGCAGTGCTCCTACCGACAGCTTGTTGACTCCAGGCCAGAATGTTTGCCTACAGAGATGAAGAAACATCAAAACCAATTAAAGTTGCCAGGCACTGTGGTGGGGGGGTGTTGTGATCCCAGCTGAGGCAGGAGGATTGCCTCAAGGTAGAAAACTGAGTGACACCTTGTGTTACCTGTATGGCCCTGGGGATACCAACAGGAAGTAGGGCCATTAGGATAAACACCTTCTGTTTACCTATTCCAAAGCAGTTCTCTCTAGGAAGCCCCACCGGGGTGGGGGTGGGGCTTCTCAGACCAGAACCAGCGATTTTTATTCCAAGTTTAGTTTTCCCCACCGTATTTTACTTTGGTTTTGAGGTGGTGGGATGGAGCGAGCCCAGAGCCTGGTGTAGGCGCTGTATCACTGAGCGCCATCCTCAGCCTTCCCAATATTTTATAAGCTCACAGAAAGTCTAGAAGAGCGGGAGCCGAGGGACATCCACTTCCCAGAGCCCACAATGAAGATTCCACGGCGCTGACTACATCCTGGTTTTGAACTTGAAGTTTCTTCTTTCAGAGCTGTTTCAAGGGCAGATATGCTCCCGAGGGCCCAGCAGTGGTGGTGTCCCCAGGACGCAGAAATGGGATGCCAGAAAGCTGATCCCGGAAATGTGGCGCTCCGGGGATCTGCCAGGATGGGAGGGTGGGGGTAGCAAAAGGGACAGGCATGGGAGTACCTGAAAAACAAAACTCGCTCTTCCCGTGTGGTCTTGACCCAAGTTCATTCGAGAACCCGAGTCTCGTGGTTGCTTTTGGCCGGACGGTCGAGGGATCATCTTTCCCTGGGCTCTGAGCGATGGCGGCGCTGTGGCCCGCCCCTGCACCCGAGAACCCAGATGACAAGCGTGATAGAGCCGCAGGGCTGGGACGGTGCCCGGTGCCCCGCAGCCCGCGCGCAGTGCACAGGCCGGGAGCGCGTCCCGCACCGGCGGGCTAGAGCTCGAGGCCGCCTCCTCCCAGGCCCCGCGGGACTGGGATCGTCGCTCAAGGCCCTCCTCCCGGCCAAGGTGGAGGAAGTTGCCGAAGAGGCGGGAGGGGGCCCGCGCCGGTTGTTTTCCGCCAGCCGGGAGGGCTGGGCGCTGGGGCGGGGTGCGCGCCCCAGAGGAGATCGCCCGGGCCGGCAGCAGCATCCTAGTCGGGAAGCCCCTCGCCGCGGGCCTGGGAGCCCCAAGAAACCCGCGCACACAGAGCCCAGCTCTTCCCCGGCCATAGATCTCCAGCGCGATGGCCGGGCTACGCGTCCTGCTGTGCCTCGGGGCGCTTCTGGCCCGCCAGGGCTCCGCAGGTAAGGGACCCGCCACCCCAAGCCTGGGGACCCGAAAGCTCCTCGATCACTTGCTGCAGGGCCCACCGAGGGGCACGTGGAGGGGAAAGTGGTAGTTTTATTTATTTTTCCCTTCCCTGTTCGTTCCTAACTCTTCGTTCTGGTTGTGCCCGCGACGCCGGCGCGCCTCCTTGCAAGCTCCCATCTGTGTCCGCCTCCCCGCCTCCCCCAGGTTGACCTGGGTTTACACCTGTGATTTGTGAAGTTGTCCCCCCCCAACACCCTCCTACCTGAGTGAGCCTACTGTGCGGACCGCGCCTTCATTTTTCCATTCTGTTTCTGTTTTCTTTTGAAATCATTTCAGACTTGACCAAAAATTCCCTTCCTACGGGACGTGGATGGTGAATGGTCTTACATACCTCGTCTACACAGCGCTGTTGCAAATAAATAAATAAATAAATAAATAAATAGCGCGCGCGGGGGGGGGGTTGCTTAGCAAAATATGTAGACTGTAGAAAGATTGGAAAAGGATGTTTGAGGTGTAACTCGCCAGCGAATCGGTGTCTACTATGTGCAGGAATGTTCCGAGAGTGGGGGCAGGGGAAACAAAGCCAAGAGGTGGTTGTTTTCCCAAGATTCATGGGAAATGCTATTTTGTGTGTGTGTGTGTGTGTGAGAGAGAGAGAGAGAGAGAGAGAGACACTCCGTCCACCCCCACTCACCTGCTATCATTGTAATAAGAGATAAAGCTGTCAAATTACACCTGAGCTCCCTAGCAGCAAGTGGTCAAAGTTCCTAATTATTATTATGCCCTTACAATCTACTTATTTATATTTGCATTTATTTATTTATTTACTTGGTTTGGTTTGGTTTTTCGAGACAGGGTTTCTCTGTATTGTTTTGGAGGCTGTCGGTCCAGCCTGGCCTTGAACTCTACATTTGCTTTTAATAGTCACATAAAATCAGCAACATTTTCCATAACTTATATTTCTGGTATGTATGGAAAAATCTGAAGGTTGGACAATATAGGCTCAGCTCTCCCACCTGGGACTGGGCAGTGGTCATTTGCGTTATTTAGGACACGTGACCCAAATTTGTTCCACTTTATATTACTGTGTTATCCCCAGTCTTGTTTGGTCATGGATTTTAAATTCCTTTATGGGTGATGCATGTGTTCTACCACATCACCAACCCCCAGTTATGGTCTGGTACCTGATAGGAGGAGCCTGAACATTCATGCTGGAATGAACTTGCTTTCGGAGCGGATGCTTCTTCCCACTTGGAGACTTCCTTCCTGCGGCTATGCCCTGTTAACTTGCTTTGAGTCATGGTCTCACTGTGCAGTCCTGTCGGTTCCAAATCTGCCATTCTCTCATGCCAGTTTCCCTGGTACCAGGATTCTGTGCTTGAGCCACCAACCCTGACTTTCTGCTCAGCAATTTTTAAGCCCAGCCCCTCAGGCTTGCTTTGCCTGTGTGCCTGTGGTGCCCAGGGGCCTGCTGGTTATGCATACTTTAGGCCTTAGGTGGAACAGGTGTTTTCTTCCAACTCTCACCTATACACAACATTGATGCTTCAGCTTGTCCCCTGGAGGGTGTAGTCCAGGCTGTGCTTGCTGAGAGTTCCTGGGGAAAGACGAGTGTTTAGATATGCCTCCAGCTGTGTAAATAAGGATAGCATCAAATCCAGTATGGGGCTGGAGGCTTAACCTGGTAGTGGAGTGCTTGCTTAGCATGAGGAATGCCCTGAGTGTGAGTCCCACATCGTAAACACTCACTGGCCAAAGAGTTCTCTCTCTTCCTTTTTTGTTGCATAATATGAATTTAAGGTTGGGGGTCGCAACAGAGTATCCCCTGGACAATGAATGACATTGAGCAGCACAAACATTACTTTGTCTTTTGAATTTTTCTATTTCACTTTCTTTCTCTGTGTGGGAGGTATGTATGTACCATGGCATGTGTGTGGAGGTCAGAGGACAATTTGGGGGGACAGTCCTCTGTTTCCTGGGATCAGGTTTGGCAACTTTACCCAGTGACTCACCTCACTGGTACTAGGCTCTGTCTTATTCTATCCAGCGTGTAAAACCCAAGCACTTGTGAGCCAGAGCACTCCAGATTGTGGCTGTCCCACATCTCTAGGGACACCTGTGGAGCCTGAAGTGTTTAACAGTGTAATGAGGATGTGTGGACCAGCATGTGTGTGGAAATGATGTGTTTACAGGAGCCACCCTCTCCTTGTCCATGACAGACATCACCAATCGATGACTCCTTTCTGAGCCTGAATAGCTTCGGCTGCAGCATTACTGATTAGGTGATTTTTCAGGCCATATTTAGCTTCAGTAGTTTCAAGCAGTGGAGTGGGCAGAGCCAGGGGAAAACCAGGCAGGCCATTGTCTTCCTTGGAGAAGACATGAACTCAGGTTTCGGGTTAAAATTGCACGAAGCCTGTTTCAGGCTGACAGACTATTATTATTATTATTTATTTATTTATTTTGCAGAGGACTAGGAAGGGGCGGCTATTGGTCTGAGGGATACTCCATGTAGCTGTATGTAACTCTACAGTTCATCTTCTACATGGTGGCAGTCACCATGTGAGAACCTGGGTTAGCAGCCTAATCATTTGAAAATGACCCTTACACACACACACACACACACACACACACACACACACACACACACACACCATCCTCCCTTTTGAGTCAGGGTCTTCTCATGCTTCAGGCTGGTTTTGAACTTGATCTGCCTGCCTCAGCAGGATTGCAGGCATGTGTCACCAGGCTCAGCTGTGACAGACTTGTAAATTATCACTCTCAAGTGTTTCTTGCTGTTTGAGAGTGGCTAGCATTAGCTGATTCTCTACCATGCAGACCCTGGCCTGTGTGTTGTATGTCCTCATCGTCCCCTTTCCTCCCCCCAGCCTTGACTTGAAAGCTTTTTAGAAGTAGTGTGATCAGGATGGACAGAGACTCAGGACTTCCTGTGACCCAGTCCAACTTTAGTCTTTTGAAAGGAACCTTTTCCCATCACAGGAGGGTCCCAGCTCAGACACTTATGGCAAGGTCACCAAGAAGCAGGTGGCCATTACTTTTTTTTTCTTTTTTCTTTTTTTGGTTTTTTGAGACAGGGTTTCTCTGTGTAACAGTTTTGGCTGTCCTGGGACTCACTCTGTAGACCAGGCTAACCTCGAACTCACAGATTGGCCTGCCTCTGCCTCCCCAGTGCTGGGGTTTAAGGCAAGCACTACCACTGCCTGGCTTTTTTTTAAAATAATGGTTTTATTGAGATATAATCTACATACCATAAAATCTACCCTTGGGCTGGGGACGTAGTTCAATTGGTAGAGTGCCTGTCTATTGTGAATGAAACCCTGGGTCCCAGCTCCCCTAAAACCAAGTATGGTAGTGGCACACGCCTGCCATCACAGCACTGGGGAAGGGGACTAAAGAGGATGAGAATTTTATGGTTATTCTCAGCTGTGCAGTGAGTTCAAGGCCAGCTTGGACAGCTTGAGACCCTGTCATAGTAAAGGCAAAACAAAATAAAAGTCACTCTCTTGGACCCTCAACATGGCTCAGTGGGCAGAAGAGCTTGCTGTAGAGGTGGATGACTTGGGTCCTATCCCTGGGCACCCCCTTTCTTCCTGCCCACCCCCATCGTGGAAGGAAAGACCTGACTCATGAAAGTGGTTCTCCTCCGACCTCCACTGGTGTGCTGTGATTTGGTGCATAGAAACTGCCCCTGTTAATTACCTCCAGGACATTTTTATCAGCCCAGCAGGTTCTGCCCAAATTTCCTGTCCCTGTGGCCTCTCTAGAGTGGGGCATTAGTCATGGAAAGTGCTGGACTATTACTCCTCAGTAAAAATGGGCTGCATTTGTTTCTTGTTACCTACCGACTAACCCCTGATCAGGTGTCATTTCCCCATCGGTCTTGAGAAGGCATTGAAATCCACCACAGAGGGTCGGCAACTCCCGGTGCCCCTTGGTTTTGACTGAGATGGTTTGGGGGTGCTGACAATTTGTCTTTCTGACTAAGCTGCCACTTTTGGTCCAAGCACTTTCTCATTTTCTTCCACACCCCCCCATTTTTCCTTGAGTCAGGGTCTCACTACGTAGGCCACACTAGCACGTGACTCTTGGCCTTTCTGCCTCTGAGTGTCCCAACGTGGGTGTCATCACAGCTGGCTTTGGTGTGGGTATTTGAATTTGCTATTCCCTCTGCCTGGGACTCTGGCTTCTTCTGAATCCATTCCATGCTTGCTTGGCCATCAGGCCCTGCTTTGCTTCCTGAAGGAAGTCTTCCCCAGCACATCCTCAGCTGCCTTGGGAGCCCTTCCTGTCTCCCTGACCTTCCTGTCTACCCTCCTGGCCAGTTTGGCGTCTGTTTTCCCGCTAGCCTGTGAGCTGGATGGCTCTCATTTGTCGCCAGCAGGTCCAGAGAGCCCAGCACAGGACTTGTCTCCCAGTGTGTGCACAAATGTTTGTTGTCAACCCATTTCTGCACGGAGCAGCCCAAAGTGATTAATTCCAGGGGGAGGGAGACCAACAGATCTGTCCCCCCCCCCGCCCCATCTGGATGTCTAGGCAACAGGATGGCTGCCTAACACTGTATGATTTCGGACTAGCAGGTGGCCACATGGAGAGGACCATGCTTTCTGGCTGGATACTGCTGGTGTGACTGGATAGGCAGCTCTGCTGATCTTGCCTGGGCCCTTGCATGTCAGAATGGTATGCCCAAAGGCTGATCCAGAGCACTTGGAGCTGGAACCCCTGAGCACCGTGCCTCTGCCCCATGTGGGGTTGAGACTCACACTGCAGTTGCAGTTGGAGCTGAGGACAGCAGAGGATAAAAAGGGGTTCGTTTGAGGGCATGGTGCTCCCCCCTCTATGGGATTCATTTCTGTAACTGATAAAATACCTGAGACGGTCAACTTCAAGGATGGGAAGGGTTTGTTTTGGCTCACAGCTACCAAGGGGTGCAGCCCATCATGACAGAGAAGGTGCAGCAGCAGGAGCTTCAGGCCATCCCCTCTCAGGACATCCATCCTGAAGCAGAGAGAAAACAGGAAGTGTGGCTCAGCTCCCTAAACCTCAGAGCCCACCTCAAGTGACTCACTTCCTCTGGCAGAGCTCTACCCCCTAAAGGTTCTATAACCTTCCTAAACAGTGCCACTAGCTGGGGATGTGAGCCTGTGGGGGACATCTTGCGTTCATACCACAATACCACTATTGAATACTTTTGGTAAAATAGCTGGGGATTAGCTAGGAGGTGGTAGCCCACACCTTTAATCCCAGCACTCAGGAGGCAAAGGCAGACAGATCTCTGCGAGTTCGAGTCCAGCCTGGTCTACAGAGTGAATTCCAGGACAGGCTCCAAAGCTACCGAGAAACCCTGGGGGAAAGGGATTTAGCTCAATGTTAGAGCACTTGTAATGCGCTTGGTTCTGGGTTCAATCCCCAACTCTGTATAAACTGTGGATCCCAGCATCTGGGAGGGACAGAAGTTCAAGGCCAGTCTGAGTTGTATGAGATCCTGCTTCAAATGCATTTGCTTAAGTGTGCATGTACATACACACACACACACACACACACACACACACACACACACACACACGGACAGACGGACGCATGCGCACACGCCCATATGCTATTAAAAAGAAAATTCTACTGTTCCCAAAGGGTTGTTGCCTGTCAACCAGAAAAGGTGTTGACAGCCTGACCTTCCCTTTACAGACCTAGGTGCTGTGGCCATCGGCGAAGTCCATGAGAATGTCACTCTTCACTGTGGCAACGTGTCAGGATCCAGGGGCCTGGTGACCTGGTACCGGAATGATTCAGAGCCCACCTTCCTGCTCTCCTCCAACTCCAGCCTCCCTCCAGCTTCGCCTCGCTTTTCCCTAGAGGACGCAGGTGCCCTGCACGTGGAGGCACTGAGCCTGGAGGATGATGGCAACTACACCTGCCGGGAGGATCTGAATGGGACCCGCTGGTTCCCTGTGTGGCTGCGCGTGGCCAGTAAGTGGGACTGACAGGGATGGGCTTGGGGAGGCAGCGAGAGCCCGGGGAAGAGGTCAGGAGTGCGGGCTTGAGTGACAGATGGTTTCGGTGTGGGTAAGTTGGAGGCCAGCCTGGGCTACATAGAGAAACCCTGGCTAGTGTCCTAGGAACTGCAGTGGAGGTTGTGCTCTGACCTCCACACCTGCAAATAAATACACAGTTGTCCCTGAAATCAAATGAGACCTTGTGCTCCCTAAGTACATCTGAAGCGATCAGAACTGTGGGAAGTCCTTCACTGAGAAATGGGGGTCTATGGTTGGCACAGTTTCTCCACGAAAACCAGAGGCAGGTTTCCTGAGGCAGATCTGCAGCAGAGCCTCCTGAGATCTTCCCTCTTCTTCCCTCCAGAGGGTCCTGAGCCACAGACCCCTCCAGACCCTCCTTGCCTGCACCTCAGTCAGTGGTCGTTGAGGAAGGCCATGCCTCTGAGGGACTTGGTTTCATTGACTCAGGCAGTTTGAGGGTGTTGAGTGTTGACAGCACTGCATTCCTGGGAGGACTTGGTGCTGTCTGTTGTCAACAGGAAGTCCTCAAGGTCCACACACCTGGGCTCAGATCTAGGCCCTGCTGGCTGCTGTCTCCTCAGCCTTCAGCTTTAATCTGTGAAGTTCAGGGTCAGGGTGGAGTTTTGCTGCATCAGATGCTCTGATAAAGGTAAACATCGGACAGGACCTTGGCCACGTGCCTGGGGTCTGCTGCTTACGAAGGTGACTGGTTTCCCATGGGAAAAAATATATTCCAAGGTCCCAGTAATCAGTACATTCTGGTCTTTTGCCATTGCCTCCCTCTTTGTTCTCTCTCTCACACACACACCCCCCCCCCCCCCGCCTTTTTTTTCTTTTTGGAGGTGAAAGCTTGTGGTGGAGATAGTCAGGGTCTCACTATGTAGATCAGGCTGGCCTTATATTCGCAGAGGTCCTCCGGCCTCTTTTCTAGGTGTTGGGATTTCAGGCACAGGCTACCTTCCCCCAGGTCTTTACTTTGTGAGACAGAGTCTTGTTTTGTAGCTCTGGCTGGCTATAGCTTAGGAGTAGAATGCTTACCTAGGAAAGTAAGAACATGGGCTTTGGTCTTTCATCTAAAAAGGGGGGAGGGAAGGAGGGAAAGAAAAGAGAAATCGGGAGCTGGAGAGATGGCTCAGAGGTTAAGAGCACTGGTTGCTCTTCCAGAGGTCCTGAGTTCAATTCCCAGCAACCACATGGTGTTTCACAACCATCAGTAATGAGATCTGATGCCCTCTACTGACATATAGGCACAACAACACTGTATACATAATAAATAAAAACATTTTTTGAGACAGGGTTTCTCTGTAGCTTTGGAGGCTGTCCTGGAACTCGCTCTTGTAGACCAGGCTGGTCTCGAACTCATAGAGATCCGCCTGCCTCTGCCTCCCAAGTGCTGGGATTAAAGGCATGCATGGCCGCTGCCACTGCCGCCACCACCACCCAGCTGAAGAAATAAATCTTAAAAAACAAAGCCCAAGAAGTCTAAAAAAAAAAGACAGAAAAGAGAAATGACTTTAGTTATTTGTGATGTCCTAGCACTCTAGAGGGAGAGGTGGGTCAGTCATGAATTCAATGTTATCCTTGGTTATATAGCAAAGTTGGGGCCACCCTGTGCTACTTGAGACTCTGGTCATAGAAAACCAAAAAATCAAAGCACAACAACAACAAAACCCTCACAGCAATCATCCTGTCTCTACCTTCCCAGTGCTTGGGTCACAGTTTCCATCTGGGTGTTTGAGTGGGACTCGGTGAGAGTCAGATCCTAGCTTTTCTTTATCTAGTCACTCAAATGGTTTATAACTCTGTGTGTGTGTGTGTGTGTGTGTGTGTGTCCCTCACAATCGCAAATGTTCTAACATGGCCTTGGGGAAGAAAAATCCCAAGCTGTTCCTGGCTATACAGGTTCTTATCTGTGGGTGACCTTCGTTATCCAAGACATGTGCCATAGAGGCGTGTGTCTAGCTGTGCTGTGTCTAGGTTGGGAGGCCTCGGTCACCAATGTCACCTGCACCCCAGGGGGAGTCAGTTTTCTGTAGGTCATGGTGGGAGGGATTTAGCCCACCCGGTGTGGGCAACACAGTGGGATGTCATCCATTACTCCCACCTGAAGAGTATGTAGAGCTGTGTTAGCTAAGGGCGTAGCAAGGGCTGGACAAGTGGCTCAGTTTGTGGAATGCATGGAGCCCTGGGCTCATCCCCAGAACCACAGAAAAGCTAGCTGTGAGATGGTCCCTGCACTCAGGAGGCTGGATTAGACCTTTAAGGGTTTCCTTGGTTAGGGAGTTCATACCCAGCCTGGGCTACATGAAGAACCCTGTCTTTAACGAATAAAAAGTAATGGGATAAAGAAATGAATCAGCAGTTAATTTGTAACTCCAGTTCCAGGATAACTGCATTAGGCATGCGTATGAAACACCTACCTACATGCAGGAATACCACAATACATATAAAGTAAAAGCAAACAAACATTAAAATAAATAAAGGCAAGATAAAGGGTGAACCACAGTTATCTTAGGACTTTCTTACTCTGTCCCTATGGGTCCAGAAGTTCTTTGGCACATATTTCAGGGCTGTTGAAGCTGTTGACTTAATGTCCACATGGGAGTGGGGATGGGGTGTGCCAGCTGAGTGCTTGCCCTCTGTAGGATTGGAGGGATGGTGAAGGTGGCTCAGACGTTAACTAGTCCTGCAGCCTTGGTGCTTCTTGCACAGTATCATCTCTTAGGCATTTGGGGAGCTGAGTCCTAGAGCCAAAGTGACAAAGCCAAAGACCAGCCCATGAAAAACCCCAGGAGGATTTCAGGGAACACTGAGCAAAGTTCACCCTGTGTCCAGTTTTCTCAAGCCAAGAAATTGCTATGGGGTCATTGGAACCAATTGGCAGGAGGACAGTGAGGACAGGCTTGTGTCAACTGCCAATCCCTCTTGGCAATCAGCTAGGGCATGGTCCTAGCATCCTGTATAGCTGTCTTAGGGATGATCCATGCTACCTGAACTGAGCATGTGTTAATAGAGCCCTGCTCATTGGTGAGTGCCAACATAGCTTCACAGTGCAGAGTCCTAGAGAGAGAGTGGAGAGAGTACACAGAGGGGGAAGTCATTGACCCCATCAGAAGTCAGGGTGCTTCTTGTTCAAGGTTTGATTAACTTGGTGTCTTAGGGTTCCTATTGTGAAGAGACACCATGACCATGTCAACTCTTGTAAAGGAAAGTATTTAATTGGGTGACTTAAGAGTCAGAGGTTTAGTCCACTCTCATCATGGTGGGACATGGCAGCATACAGGCAGACATGGTGCTGGAGCCTAAGGAGCTGAGAGTCCTGCATCTTGATCCCCAGGCAACAGGAAGTGAACTGAGACACTGGGTTGTATCTTGAGCATTTCAGACCTCAAAGCCCACCAACACAGTGGCACACTTCCCCCAACAAGGCCACACCTACTCCAACAAGGCCACACCTCCTAAGAATGCCACTCCCCATGAACTTGTGGGGGCCAATTACATTCATTCTACCACAACTGGGTTTGAAGCACACATGGGTGGTTTGAAGAGGCTGGAGGGAGAGATTGGGCTTTGGATTTAGGATTCGTACTATGGGACCTGGGATGAAAACTGATGGACGCATCAGTGAAAGTGATATTTAAGGAGTTTGGGTGAGGTGTCACAAGTCCATAATCCTAGCACCTGGGTGGCGGAAGCGGAAGGGAGTTAAATTCAAGGTCATCCTTAGCTAGGACGAGCTAGTTTGGGGCCAGCCTGGGCTACTGGGCTACATGAGAAAACCAAACCAAGTAACATCAACAAAAGCACGGTGTAAGGGTTGGGGTGTGGCTCAGTGGTGGCCTCTCCAGGCCCCGGTTCCAGCCTCAAATTAGAACATAAGGTTCAGGGGGTTCAGCAAAGAGGGTCTCGGATGATGGAATCAATGTGCACAGTCTAAAATCTGAAATAACGTGGACCTGAGCCTTTTGGGTGGGAGATACTTTGCCTGTGGTACCTTCTGGGTGGAGTGAGAACCCTAGGGGGTCAGGAAGGCAGGGTTTAAATGATTTAGACTCAGCCTAGGGCTTAGATGAGCCTTGATCTTGGAACACAGAACCACTCTGGAGGCTCATTAAGGTCTCTCTTTGATTTTTTTTTTTATTTTTAGTTTAAATGGTGTTATCAGCCTAGTTTGGTGGTATGTGCCTTTAATCATGACACTTGGGAGACAGAAGCAGGAGGATCACTCAGTTTAAAGCCAGTCTGGTCTATGTAGTGAGTTCTGGGACAGCCTGGGCTACACAAGGGTTGGGATGGCTCAGTGGTGGACTGTTTGCGTAGCCTCACCAGGTGAGACCCTGTATCAAAAACCAAAGATTACGTGTGTGCATATATGCCACAAATACTCGGATGTCTGTGGAGACCAGAAGAGGACTTCAGATGTGTGGAGCTGGACTTTGAGGCAGTGGTGAGTCTTCTGGCATGGATGATGGAACAGAACTCAGGTCCTTTGCAAGAGCAGCCAGTGTCTCTAACCCCTGAGCCTGAGCTGCCTCTCCACTCTGGCATTTTCTTTTTTAAAAATTATATATAAGTACATACATTTATATGTATGTATGTTTACATTTTTAAATTTAATTTGCATGTATGTGTGTGTGCTCACATGTGCCAGGGTGTTCACGTGGAGGTCAGAGGACAGTTAGTGGACGTCAGTTCCCTTCCTCCACTTTGTGGGTGTGGACATCAAACTCAGGTTGACAGACTTGGTGGCAGGCACCTTTACCTGCTTGCTTGTCCTCTTTTAAAAGTTTATGTATTTATTTGTGCATGGGGGAGTGGATACGTGCCTGCCAGGGAGCAGAAGACAGCTCCCGGGACTCTGTTCCCGACTTCCCCTTGGTGGTCAGGGCCCTCTCATTTGTCCGGCTGCATGGTGTACCAGAGGCTAGCTACCCCTCTGCCTTCCCAGGGGTTCTCTGGTCTCTGCCTCCCATCTCACCACAAGAACGCTGGGAGACTCACACTAGGACATCTGGCTTGCACTCGGACTCTGGGAACTGGACTCCCAATTCTCAGGTCAGGTGCCATCTCCTGCCCTGATTTTCTTCTTTCAAAACCTCTTGCCTGACTCCTGCACAAGGATTCTCAGTAGCAAATTCTACTTCTTGTTGGTTGTTCAGCTCAAAAGCCCTTCCCAGCGCTTTCCGGGGATTCAGTCTGTCCAGGCCAGGCCACCAGGACCTGGAAGACCAGAGGTATGTGACCTTTGCCATTCTTGGGTGTCAGCCACCAGGACCTTAGTACTCCAGCTGAACCCTGTTTAGTTGGAGGGATGCCAGTGGAAGACACGTCCTAGGACCTGTTGAGCCACATACCTGACGGACTAGCCAACAGTGATTAATGGGCCATTCAGGCTCCTCCCAGGCCACCACCTATGTCTCCCCAGACCCTTGGTTGTAGGCAATATGGTTCCCAGAGATTCACCTGACAAGGATGTTTTCCTGGCCAGGTGTGGAAGAAAGCACATCTGTAATCTCAGCACTTGGGAAACTGAGGTAGAAAGAGCTTGAGTTCGAGGCTAGCCTTGACTGCTGAGTGAGGGTCTAAGGAAAGGGGTATTTCCATTGAAGGGCTGCATAGGAAAATCTCTGCACCCTACAAATGGTGTTTTCCCCTCACTGACCTGTTGATGAACTAAACTCCTTAGCTGTAGATGAATGAATTCCTTTGCTGAGACTTTGAACTTCCTGGGATGTTCATTTAAAAAGACATCCCTCTGAGGAGAGGCGGCACGCTGGATCACACTGATGTGAGCAGCCATTGGGTGTGCCCTTAATGTCTTTTAATTGGCAAAGTAATTGTATAGATAAGGTTCTTTTCTTCCCCCTCCTTTTTTTTTTTTTAAGATTTATTTATTTAGGGCTGGAGAGACGGCTCAGAGGTTAGGAGCACTGGCTGCTCTTCCAGAGGTCCTGAGTTCAATTCCCAGCAACCACATAATGACTCACAACTATCTGTATTGAGATCTGGTGTCCTCTTCTGGTCTACAGGGATACATGCAGACAGAACATTGTATACATAATAAGTAAATCTTTTTAAAAAAAGATTTATTATGTATACAGATCTCATTACAAATGGTAATGAGATCCCAAGTGCTAGGATTAAAGGTGTGCGCCACCAATGCCCTGCTGGCCACTAACTCTTTATGTAGACCAGGCTGACCTTGAATTCACAGAGATCTGCCTGCCTCTGCCTCCTGAGGTCTCCCTCCCTCCATGCTTCTCTTCCCCCCTCCTCTTTGTTCCTCCTCCCCCTCCTCCTTCCCACCTCATCACATTTGCGGGTCTCCAGCTATGTACGTGTACTAAGCACACACTACACCTCTGAGCTGCTTCTCCAGCAGGGAGATGTTTGGCATCTTGGATGCACAGGGTACCACAGCACAGGGCATCTTGGAGCTTGAGAAAGTTCAGGTCTGGGTGAAGTGTAGTTCACAGGCAGCACGTGCAAGGCTCTGAATTTCTTTTCCAGCACTGAAAACAGTAAATAAATGTATAATTTAAGGTGAACTAAGATGAGGCCCAGTGTTTGTAGAGCGGTTCGGGCCTGGCAGGCACCATTTCTGAGTGCTCCATTATATAAACTCTAGCCCTGAGTGGGGGACACTGTCATCACCTCTTTCGCTGAGGAGGAAGCTGCAAGGATGAGTGCAGCTGCCTGAAATCGCACAGCTGGAGTTCAGTCGGGCCTGGGGCAATCATTTCCTGTTGGGGTTGATGTGTATGTCTGGGGTGGGGGGTGCTGGAGGGATGGTGGGTAGAGGCAAGACCAGCCTCAGGTTCATGGATACTTTAGGACAACCCCCAGGAGCTCAGCATGTCCAGTGGTTGGAGAGAAAGCAGCCACACTGAAGGAAAGGAAGTTCCAGAGCTTCCGGTGCTCTGGTCTGCCCCACACCTATGAGAATTCCAGGTTCTCTGAGGAAAGCCAGTGTTCCCTAAGCCACTCCATGTGCTAGGCTGAGACCCAGAGAGCCATGGTGACAGGCTTGGGGCATGGTGGAAACCGTCCTGACATTTATGTTAAGGTCCTTCCAGGGTCTCAGTAGGAGAGTAGTTAGGAGAGTAGTTGCAGGTCCAACGTGTTCCTTTTTTTTTCTTTAGGGTGTTTTGCCCTCATGCATGTCTGTGTACTATGTGTGTGCCTGACGCCTGTGGAGGCCAGAAAGGCTGTCAAAACCCCTGAAACTGGACTTAAGGATGCTTGTGAGTTGCCATGCAGATGCTGGGAATAGAATCTGGGTCCTCTGCAAGAGCAGCCAGTGCTTTTAACCATTAGCCCTTTGGTAGAAGTTTTGTTTTTTTTAATTCAGTGTTGTAAATTTATTTTATATGTATGGGTGTTTTGCCTGTGGAGGTCAGAAGAGGGTGCCAGATCTCCTGGAACTGGAGTTACAGACAGTTAAATAAACCACCATATGGGTGACTGGGAATCCTACCCAGGTCTTCTAGAAGAGAAGCCAGTACTCTCCTGTTGAGCTGAGCTATATCTCTAGTCCCTCCTTTTTGTTTTTGTTTTCTTGAGACAGAGTCTCACTATGTACCTCTGGCTGTCTTGGAACTCTCTATGTAGATGAGGCTGGTCTTGAACTCAGGTTGTATCTGCCTCTTGACTGGTATAAAGATGTGTACCAATATGTCTGTCTAGATCTATTTTTAATTGTGTGAGTGTGCGTGCATTTGTACGTGTGTGTGTGTGTGTGTGTTATGTGTGTGTGTGTATGTGTGTGCAGGTACCTAGAGAAGACTGTGAATCCTCTGGAGCTGGAGTTGGGGGAAGTTGTGAGCTACAGGACATGGTTCCTGGGAACCTAACTATGGTCCTCTGAATGAGTGGCAAGCACTTAACCTCTGAGAAGATCCCCAGCTGCTCGAAATATTTTAATGCCAGCACTAGACAGTGGAAGCAGGAGGGCTGGAAGCTCTTCAAGGCAGGGTTGGGCGTGTTGCTCAGTTGGTAGTATTTGCCCCACATCGTGAAACCCTGGCTTTGAAGCCTAGTACCACATGGACCAGGTGCGGTATCACATGCCTGTGACCACAGCACTTGGGATTCGAAGACAGAGGGATCAGAAGCTCAGGGTCATCCCCAGCTATATAATTTGAGGTCAGCCTGGGCTACATGGGCTCCTGTCACAAAAAAACAAAAACAAAAAACAAAACAAAACAAAACAAAGCAAAACAACCAGATGGTGAGTCCTTTAAGGAAATTCTCCCTTATCCACAGTCAACTTTGTACAACTCTCCAAGATCAAATGAGTGGAGGTCTGAGGATACTTAGCACAGCCTTGTCACAATAACCTTGTCACATAGCGAGTGTTGGTAAGCTATCCTTGTTGTCTGTTTCCATTAGATCTCTGGAGGAGGATTCTTACCCTTTCTCCCCCTGTCATTCCTAGGTGGCCCTGATCAGATTGAGGTTAACATCTCAGCCACTGGCACCCTCTCCAATGGTACCCTGTACACCGCCAAGGGCTCCCAGGTGGACTTCAGCTGCCACAGCACATCCTGGCCTCCGCCTGTGGTGGAGTGGTTTATCCAGGCCAACAACTGGGAGTCCTTAGGAAAGAACCTGACGGCCAATAGCTTTGCACTGTTGCAGATGTCACAGAACCTCCAAGGCAACTACACCTGCTCAGCCACCAACGTGCTCAGCGGGAGACAGCGAAAGGTGACCACCGAGCTCCTGGTCTACTGTGCGTATGCAGCGTGCCCCTCCGTGAACCGTGTCTGTGTGTCTTACTTCAGATTTAATACTGTTTTTTTCCCTGCCTCCATGGTTTCCTCTATACTGTGGCTCTGTGGTATGTTTCATAGCCCCATTTCTTTTGGGGGCTGTAAAATAATGCTCCATTGCATGTCCATACATAGATCCTAACATGCTTCATTGCATAGTTCAACATATGTGGGCATACCTGGACTCTCAGGTGAGGTTCATCCCTTCTAGGAGCTTTGGTTTCTCAAGACAGGGTTTCTCTGTGGCTTTGGAGGTTGTCCTGGAACTAGCTCGTGTAGATCAGGCTGGTTGCAAACTCACAGAGATCCACCTGCCTCTGCCTCCCAAGTGCTGGGACTAAAGGAGTGCGCCACCACGACCCCGCCTAGGAGCTTGTTGTTATCTGGTATGTAACAGAGTCCTCTAAGTCACAGAGGGAAACTAACACAGAGTTTTTTTAATAGTGGAGAAAGTATTTAACATTTCAAAATACAGGAAAGCTGGTCATGGTGGCCCATCCCTGCAGTCCTGGCACTTGGAAATCTGAGGCAGGTGGACTCTCATGATTTTTTTGCAACAAAGTGACTGTCTCAAAAGGAAAAAAAAATGGATCAGGGACACAATTGTTGATAAGTGTTTGCCACATAAGCATGAGAAACAGGGTCAAATTCCCAGCACCCACATAAAAAAGCAGGATGCGGCAGCCTGTAGCTGTAATCCCAGTGCTGAGGGGGCAGAGTGAGGACCACTGGGGCTCACTAACCTCCTTACATGGGTGCTGGGACCAGGTCCTCTGGAAGTGTAGCTAGTGCTTTTTACCACTGAGCCATCTCTGTGATCCCTTTTAAGTTTTTGTTTGTTTGTTTGTTTTGTCCCCGCCCTTTTAAGTTTTTTAAAATTAATTTTGTAAGTGTATGATATGTGGGTGGACATGTGCCACAGCATGTGGGTGGAGGTCAAAAGCTAACTTCCGCTGTGTGCTGCAGGCATTAGATTTGTGTGGTAAGGCTTTGCAAGGCAAATGCTTTTCACCCACTGAGCCATCATCGGCAGTCTCTGCCATCTTCCTCCTCCTCCTCCTCCCTTCTTCCTCTTCGACAGTGTCATTTGTATCCCAGGCTAGTCTTGAACTAGTTAAGTAGCCAAGGATGACCTTCAGCTCCTAATCCTGTCCCCGTATCCCAAGTGTTAGTATTACAGACGTGTACCACCACAATTGTTTTGTGGGGTGCCAGGGATCGAACCCGTGGCCTTGCGCACATTAGGCAAGCACTGTACTATTTGAGCTGCACTCCTCAGCCCAGCAGGTGCTTTCTGAAAGTAGACTAGCTAGCCTTGATGGCTCTCAGAGACACACGCACTCAGGCGCTCATGCATACACACATTGCCCTGCTGTCTGACTCAGTGTCTGAGACGAAGCATTCTTTTCCTCTGCACTTTTGCAGGGCCCCCTCCCTCAGCTCCTCAGTGCTCAGTGGTGGTGTCTTCAAAATCAGCCACCCTGGAACTTACCTGTAATTGGGATGGGGGCTACCCTGATCCAACCTTCCTGTGGACTGAAGAACCCGGAGGGACAGTCTTGGGGAATTCAAAGCTGCAAACCCTGAGCCCGTCACAGCTCTCTGAGGGCAAGAAGTTCAAATGCTTCGGGAGCCACATAGTGGGACCAGAGTCGGGAGCCAGCTGTGTGGTACAGATCTGTGAGTCTGGCTTGCTTTGTCCTGGGGTTGGGGTTCACCTGTCTGCCTTTCTTCTCAAAGAATCGTTTGATGATAGTTCTGTGAGAGAAGCTCGGTGTTGGAGTGCCCGGAATCCCCCACTACCACCGCACACGCGCCATCTCTCCTTGTGCCTCCAAGTTTAGAGATGCCTGACTCAGGCTCTGCATCATGGCAAGCACCGACTGTGTGCCTGCTCCCTCCCTTCTAGTCACTTGGCAGGGGACAGTGCACAGCATGAATAGGATGCCTGTTTGTCTTCTTTATTATGTAACTGAGGGTTCTTTACCCCCACCTCACCCCTACTTGGTGCTTTAAACAATACCATTTGTTGCCTGAGGGTTTCTGGACGGTACATTTCTCTTGTCAAGAACGTGATGGTGCGGGGTCTCCTCCAGAAGACTCGGAAGTTGGGGTGCTAAAGTTATGGAAAAGATACACTTTACAGGGGCTCATTCACATGCCACGCAAGCTGTCTCCCCCGTCCCCACACGGGACCCCCTCCATGGGATTGTCAGCACTTCCTCTCAATGTGGTCACCCACTTTCCTGACAGCCAGTGATACAAGAGGGGTTGAGCCAGGCAAGAGTGACCCTTTGTAGGGCCTAGCCTAGGGGGTTGCTTGGTCTGCCTTCTAGAACATTCTGTCCTTTAGCAACAAGTCACTACCTGAAGCCCATACCCAAGGGGAGCAGGGGTGGGGTGGGAATGATTAAGCTCTCTTTTGTTTTGTTCTGTTTTATGATGGAGGTGAAACCCTAGCTTTCACAGGTAGTAAGATGTCCTCCCACTGAGCCCCTAGCCCAAGACCCTGTCTCTTGAGAGATGAAAGAGGAAACTAGGACTGAGGGCAGAGGAGCCCTTGCTTAGCCTGAGTGAGGCCGTGGATTCTGTGCCCAGCACCTGTTGCACCCCCCAAAAAGAAGGGCTTGCTAGATTACCGTAGGTTGGTTCTGTGTTCTGGGCTCAAGTGCCCTCCAGCCTCAACCTCCAAAATAGGGGGACCACAGGCAAGAGCCGCCATTCTCTGCTGCAGACATCTCAAAGTACCCTGCAGGTCCCTTCGTTGAAGAATCAAGCTTATACCCTTGCCAACCCATCGTGTGAAGGCCCCTGCGTCCATCCTCACTTGTGGACCTCCTCACACCCCACATCTTTTGCCATCTTTCTCCCTGTCCTTGCCCAGTGTGTCCTCTCAGATAAACTCTTTGCATGTATAGGTGCCATACTGGTCAAGTGTGTGTGATATTTTGTGTGTATGGGTGTTTTACCTGCATGTATGCTTGTGCACACGTGTGTGCCTGGTGCTCTCAGAGGTCAGAGGAGGGCATTGGATCCCCTGGAACTGGAGTTAGAGATAGTGGGTGTTGGGTATGGAACCCAGCCCTGTTCAAGAACATAATGCTCTTGTCTTAGTCAGGGTGACTATTGCTGTGATGAACACTATGACCAAAGATACTTGGGAAAGAAAGGGTTAATTCAGCTCACACTTCCACATCACTGTCATCACTGAAGGAAGTCAGGACAGGAACTCAAGCAGGGCAGGAACCTGGAGGCAGGAGCTGATGCAGAGGCCATGGAGGGTGCTGCTCACTGGCTTGCTCCCCATGGCTTGCTCAGCCTGCTTTCTTTCTTTCCTTTTTTCTTTCTTTCTTTCTTTTTTTGAGATAGGATTTCTCTGTATTGTTTTGGAGGCTGTCCTGGAACTCGCTCTGTAGATCACACTGGCCTCGAACTCACAGAGACCTGCCTGCCTCTGCCTCCCGAGTGCTGGGATTAAAGGCATGTGCCACAAATGCCCGCCTTTAGATGGCTTTCTTATGGACCCCAGGACCAGCAGCCCAGGGATGGAGCTACCCACAATGATCTGGGCCCTCCCCCATCAATCATTAATTAAGAAAATGCCCTACAGACTTGCCTATGGCTCAGTCTTATGGAGGCTCCCTCCTCTCCAGTGACTGTAGCTTGTGTCAAAGTTCACATTAAAATTAACCTGCATATCTCTTAACTCAGCCATTTCTTGAACTCTGTGGGTGACGTTTTCAAGAGGCAACGTGTGCTTTCCTTGTCAAGTCTAGTCACAAGCATGACCTCTGTTTGGGGCCTGGGGAAAGTCATAGGGGGTGGGGGTGGGGGCTTGCTTAAGAAAAAACAAGCCATTTCTGAAACTCGGAGCTGAGTGTCTCTGCATGTTAACACACCAATGAGGCTTGCCACTGTTGTTGGCTTCATGACCCAGAAGGAGGCCTGGGTTCTCCACAGAGAGGGAGGGAAAGGCACCATCTAGCTATGAAGAAAGGAGTCATCTCTGTTAGCATCCTGACTTTTAGTCCCATAAAATCATTTCACTGCCATAGAACACGGCTTTAAGCCACTGAGTTTGTTAGTTTGTCACATCAACAGGAGGAAACAGCTGCCCTGTCTTCTTGGTGGCCTGTATGTCAGCGTTTAACATGGCCTGCATACTTGTATCATTTTGTGTGTGTGTGTGTGTGTGTCCATGTACCACAGTGTGAGCACAGAGGTCAGAGGACAACTTGCTGGTGTCCGTTATTCTGCTACATGTATCCCAGGGGTCCAGCTCAGACCCTCAGGCTTGGCAGCAATCCCCCTAACTCACTGAACCACTACCTGGCTTGTGTGCTCTTGAACGTAGATGTGTAAGCTGGCAGGCGACAAAACCTGTTGCTTCGGTCTCGGGGTCCGTGGTCATCAGCCTCTTTGGTTTCCCCCAGAGCTGTTTTGGCGTTGCATGGAAAGCCGTATGACCCAGAAGCCTTCTCAGTCCTAGGAAAAGTGGGACAGTAGGCCACCTTGTGTCCTAGCCATATCTCTTACTTGTATGGCTGGGCAAGTCAATTGGCTTTCTTTATGCCTCGGTTTCCTTCTCTACAGAATGGGAATAATCTTGAGGCTCTTTGTGGCTGAATTGGGTTCATTTGCATACAGCACCTTGTGTACAGTAAATATCTACTAGTCTTTATTCCGGGGGAACAGGCAAGGTGTCGGAATTACAAGCCTTGGTTGTTTCGTTGGGAAAGGCTAGGCCATGGCTAGAGTCTCCTGAAACATTTGCCTCTGTTTATCCTCTTCTGACCCCCAGCGAGCCCCTCGCTTGCTTCTCAGCCCATGAAGACTTGCTTTATGGGAGGCAACGTGACGCTCACTTGCCGAGTGACAGGCGCCAACCCACCTGCCAGGATCCAGTGGCTGAGGAACATCACGGAGCCAGAGGCGGCCATCCAGCCCGGCAGCCACTATCAGATCACCCGGCACGGCCAGGGCTCCTCCCTCACCATCTACAACTGTTCCCAGGACCTGGATGAGGGCTTCTACTTCTGCCGGGCTGAGAACCTCGTGGGGGTGAAGGCAGTAGACATCTGGCTGAGTGTGCAAGGTGGGTGCTGAGGGTGGCCCCCGACAGTTGAGAGCCTCGGAGTGCCTGGCACCGTTGAGCGGGGAGGTCTGGGGCCTCTCTTCACGAAGGCCATGGCTGACTGAAGATAGTACATTCATTTGCCCGTGACTTCACAAGGTGGCTAAGAAAATTAGTGTCCGATCCTGGAAGCACTGACATGTGCCTAGGATACAAAATATTACTCCTCTTACTCCACAAAGAATATGTTCTAGAACACACATATACACATATGCATGCATGTATATGCACACTTGCGCACATATATAGTGAAATTAGTGAATTGTAACTGCAAAGTGAATTCATAGTTCTTCTATCCCACTTACAGCATATATGGAACTCCCTGTGGAGGACCGGGTGAGCTCTAGAAATCATTATTAACATTTTTTATATCTTAAGACATAAAAGCCCTGGGTCCCATCTCCCTCACCTCACAAGCTGGACATGGTGACACCTGCCTGAAATCCCAGCACTCAGAAGGTGGAGGAGGTAGGAGGACCAGAAGTTCAAGGTCATCTCAGCTACACAGAGAGTTTGGGCTGCAGACACTGTCTAAAACCAAGAAGGGAAGAACGGTGGGGGGGGGGGAGCAAAGAAGATGTGTTCCTATGTACCAGAGCTGCTGTTTAAACATGTCTCAGTCACAACTTTTTGTCTGAAGTTTTTTAGGGCTCTTGGTATGAAGAGACGCAAAATACACAAACATTTACTGATGATAAATTGTAAAGCAATTTTTGGGAAAACTTTCTTGGGATATACATATACTTTCACCATCCATCAAATAGGAAAGCAAACTAGCCTGCTAATGAGATGAATGCACATGTCTCATTTACACAGAGAATTAATTTGTGGGCTGGTAGGAAGGCTCAGTGAGTAGCTACCAAGTCTGAGTTTGTTCTCCAGGACCCACGGGGCGAAGGAGAGCTCTGACTCCTTCAAGTTGTTCTCTGGCCTTCACGCACATGCTGTAACATGCATGCAGAAGCACATGTGAGCACACAGACAAAAGTAATCAAGATATTTTAATTTGGGATGAGTGTTTTAAACTGTAGGGCATAGGGCACCTTCAGTGTTGTTCAGGGTTGATTGATATTTTGATTTTATATTGTCATTGCTAGAGTGCTCGCAATTACAGGCATTTGCCACCGTGCCTGGCTTGCTTCTGTAATTTCTTCTGAAGTTTTAACATTCTCCCGACAGACTTGATTTTTGTGGCCATTGTGTGGTTGGATCAAGTTTCTTTCCTCCCTTTGGCCTCTCCCACCTTGCCTGGGTTTGACCCAGCTCCCTAGGTCCTGGAGGCCTTTGTTCACTCTCAAGACAGTATCAGGCTGTTCTCCTGTATCTTCTTCCTGTGAAGCAGGGTCCTAATATGTAGCCTTGGCCAGTCTCTCCTCTGTAGACTAGACTAGGCTTCAGTTTGGGATCCTCCTGCCTTAGGCCTGTGTCACTGCACCCAGATGTCACATTTCTCTGTGTGTGACCAGTGTCTAAATTCTCTGTCCTGGTAGGGTAGTGGTGACACACACCTCTGACCCTAGCACCCAGAAGGCAAAGGTAGGTGGATCTCTGTGATTTCGAGGTCAGCTTCATCTAGAGTGAGTTCCAGGACAGCCAGAACTACACAGAGAAACCCTGTTCCCCAAAACAAACAGAAATCTCTGTCCTGGCCCGTCCATTAGCCTGTTTACTGTGGCACTAACTCCTATTCTCACTCACTGTGGCCTTGGAAACCATCCCAAAGTCTGGTTCCCACAAAGCCCCCTAATTTTACAATGTTCTTTCATGCTACATGCTTCATTTGACTCCCTAAACCCTCTCTGCCTGAGGTTGATCTCGGAGTGGTCACATGGACATGAAACCAAGATGAAGCAAGAAGTGGATTTGGGCTGAAGAAGGGAGGTTTTGCATGACCAAGTGAAACGGATCGTAGTGTGATCTCTTTACAGAGCCTCTGAACATCGGGGGCATGGTGGGGATGGTGGTGAGCCTCCTCCTGCTGGGACTGGCCATTGTTGTGGGGCTCATGCTGTATTATAGCCCTGTGTTCTGCTGGAAAGGTAAGCGCCCCTGCTTCTCATTCAGGCTTGGGGCAGGGTGGTGGTGGTGGGGGAGCTATGGGTGGGACTGGAGAGATGGCTCAGTAGTTAAGAGCACACTGCCTGCTCTTCCAGAGGACCAGGGTTTGATTCCCAGCACCCATGCTGCAGTTCACAACTGTCCGAGACTTCAGTATCAGGGGATCCGGTGCCCTCTTTTGGTCTCCTTGGACACTGGGCATGCATGTGGTGCACAAACACACATGCAGGCAAAACACTCATGCCCATAAAAAGTTAAAATGCTATGTGTAGAGGAAAACTCTATGCCCAGCTTCCACCTATGAATGCTTCATTGGAACAATGTGTGCAATAATGAGGCCCCTAAGTACCATCCCTAAGCATTTTGAATGAATGTTCTTAGTTGTTCATCTTTTGTCCATGTTAGTTTTTTAAAGTCTTTAATTACGGATTTACTGTTTCTCTCTCTCTCTCTCTCTGTCTCTCTGTCTCTCTGTCTCTCTCTCTGTCTCTCTCTCTGTCTCTCTCTCTCTGTGTGTGTATGTGTGTGTTGTATGCACAGGAATGTGTGGGTGTGAGTGCCCATGCAGAGGCCAGAGCAGGACCTTGGGTGGCTTCCCCTATCATTCTGCCTTCCTGGCTTGAGACAGAGGTTCCTTGTACTGGCTCACTCCTTTGGCTAGGCTGGCTGGCCAGCAAACTCCTAGGCTCTACCTGTGTCTCCCCAGCAGTGTTGGGGGTCTAGGTACATAAGACCACGCCTGTCTGCTTAGGCTTCTGCATTTGATCTTAGGTCCTCATGCTCTTGGGTCATCTTCTCAGTCATCGCTGGTTTGATCAAAAACTCTAACAAGACTGAAGTGATGTGCCTGATGCTGACTTTTGTTTTCTTTCTCTTTCAGCAGGGAACACTTTCAGGTGAGTGGTCTTGGGACTCACTTTCAAAAGAACAATGATAGTTACTCTGGCTGGACATTGGTGGCGCATGCCTTTAATAGGAGCACTCAGGAGGCAGAGGCAGGCAGGTCATAGTGAATTCGAGGTCATCCTGGTTTACAGAGCTAGTTCCAGGACAGCTAGGGCTGTTACACAGAGAAACCCTGTCTCAAAAAACACACACACACACACACACACACACACACACACACACAAAAACAAAAAAAACCCCAAAATAATATTATAATAATAATAGTTACTCTGATGGGACCAACCGTGTCCCTGACCCTGGACTAGGAGTCTCCCGAGGCATTGTGGGAAACCCTCCATCTTGATGACTCCTTTGGTGGGTGTGTGCTTGTGTCTGTTTTACTGATGAGAAGGTGGAGAGACCCAATGGAGGGATTAGGATCTACTGGTGACCCCAGAAGCAAATGGTGGGTCTGTCTCCTGGCCCAGGTCTCATGGATTCCAGAGTCCTGTGCTTCTTTCCAGTGGGAACCTATGGACTGGGCATGGAGAGCCAGGTCACTCAGGCGTTTGCTTTATTTCATTTTCTAAAAAGAGCAAAAGGAAGATGGAATCTTAGGCCCATGGAATGTGTTGGAAGACAAGTCTAAACATGTGCGCAAGTACCCACCCTCACATGAAAATTCAGTGAAGGAAAGTAAACAGATGGAATTTGTATATTTCATTTCCCAAGGTGGTGCTGGGCAGTAGAAAGAATTCTTCTTTGTGGATTGTAGGAAGTATTTCCTTTTTTTCCTCATTCCTCACAAAGGAGTCTTATTGTTCTAGAACTGTCTTTCATGGGAAACCATTCCCTTTGCCACTCTACTGTTGAGGGCCATTGTCCAGGCAAATTTGTCATTCCCAGTCTTTTTTTTTTTTTTTTTTTTTGGTTTTTTACGAGACAGGGTTTCTTTGTATTGTTTTGGAGGCTGTCAGTCCAGCCTGGCCTCAAACTCACAGAGATCCGCCTGCCTCTGCCTCCCGAGTGCTGGGATTAAAGGCATGTGCCACCACCGCCCGGCTGTCATTCCCAGTCTTATTCATGGGGGACACCAGTGTGGCATTGTAGGAAGTGGCTTTGGAACCATGGCCCTGGGCCCCAGGGCTGTTCCCAAATTCTGTGTGTGGAGTACTCCTGATCCTTTGCGGCTTCATCCACTCCATCGGTCTCAGAGGGGTGTGTGTGTGGGGGGGGGTGAATTGTGGACACCGTGCTCCTGGGCGTGTGGTCAGTGGGTGAAATGCATCACTCTATAGGAAGTATGTAGCTAGGCAAGGCAGGCTATGGCAGTGGTGAGCCCAGATGCAGGTGGAGAGGAGAAGACCTTACCCAAGGATTAGGAGAGATCTCCAGGAGTGAGACAGAAATAAGAGCATTTTAGGAAAGAAGCTTTGTTTTTATTTTTATACCCCCCACTTCCTTTGGAGACAGGTTCATAGGTATCTTGGGCTGGCTTCTTTCAAATTCACTGTGGTAACCAAAGATGACTTTGAACTTTGGATCCTCCTGTGTCCGCCTCCCAAGTGATGGAATTTCGGGCATGCTCCACCATGCATACATCCTAGGCAAGTACTCCAGCCACTGAGCTACACCCCTGGCACAGAATGTAGTACTGATATGTACTTGGTGTTGAGAAATACAGTGATAGATGCCTGAGACAACACAGTAGGGACAGCATGTAAACAAACACCCTACAAAAGACATGGCGACCATCTTTAGCCATCTGTAGCTACATCTTTTCCTTACTATCATGACTAAGCCATGCTGACTGAGGAATAGTCTTAAAGGGATTACAAGGAGTCTGGTGGTGTCTGTTCATTGGGGCTCAAGTTGAAATAGATGACATCTTGATTATTTTTTTCTCTCCTTTGAAAATTAGGGGACAGGACATGGGTGACATCATGGTTTTGGTGGATTCTGAAGGGGAAGACGAGGAGGAGGAGGAGGAGGACAAGGAAGATGTTGACGAGGTAGAGCAGGAGACATACGAGAGAGAGGAGTTGCCCATAGAGATACGTAAGCATGGACACATTCACAGAGTCACTGCGCTGGTCAATGGGAACTTAGACCGCATGGGGAATGGATTCCAGGAGCTGCATGGTAAGCTTGCCTGCCTTCGAGACAGTCAGATTCGTGTGATCAGCTCCCCGGGAGGTGTCTCAGGAGTAGAGGCAATTTCCTAAAGCCTAAGGAAGTTAGCTAGCTCAAGTTTAGCCTAGAACCTGAAACTCCATGCTAGGTTAAGTGATCCATCCTAAAAAACAAAATACGAAACACTTCAGTGTCAATCAGTGCACCAATGTATTTGAACTTTGTTTCATGCCTGAGATTATTTAAAATATTATATAAAATGGTGCTGGCATTGTATACAAAGGTGGCTAAACTGGTAAAGGTTCTTGCTGCCAAGCCTCGGTGACCTGAGTTCAGACTCTGGTGGAAAGAGTGGATTTACTCCCCAAAGTTGCCCTCTCACCTCCATCCACCCCTACTAAATAAATAAACAATAATATCAATATTTTCGCAATGACTTATTTTAAGGAAACTATGAGATAAACTTAGAGTTCAGGTTTAGACTTGGGTCCCACCCCATAGCTCTTCATTTTGTACATAGAAATTACCCACAGTCTAAAGTCCACACTGCTTCTGGTCCCAAGCATTTCAGGCAAGATAATCAACTTGTGTTAGCTACCAGCGCAGAGAAGAAATCACCCGACACAGTATGTGGGGAGGACCCAGTACAGGGACTGTTGAACAGGAAAGAAAGCACTGTATTGTCTGTGAGCTTGCTAAGAGGCAGCAGGCTAAGTGCATGAAAACGTGTGTGTTGGGGGTGATTAATACGGAAGTAATATTTATCCAGTGCTGAGAGAGTCCAAGGAGAACTGTGTGTAGCCAGGCGTTGGTGGCTCACACCTTTAATGCCAGCACTCAGGAGGCAGAGGCAGGCGGATCTCTATGAGTTCAAGGCAGCCTGGTCTACAGATGGAGTTCCAGGACAGCCAGGGCTACATAATGAGACCCTGTCTGAAAAACAAACCAACAAAAATCTTGAGACCTTGAAAGAAGGCAAGAGCTGGGAGGGGTGCTTCGCTCAGGGTCAGGTCTGTGGAAGAGGTGGCTCTGAGGTAGGTGTAGGGGGGCAGTTGAGTTTGAATGAAGTAGAGAGGAGAGAGCATTTCTGCTCGAGTCAGGAGTATGATGGGTGATAAGCATCAGGCATATCTAGATTCTGAATTCAGAGAACAGATGACTTCTGAGTGTGGTGGTGCAAACCAGCACTTGGGAAGTGGAGGCAGGAGGATCAAAAGTTGAGTTATCCTTGGCCACATAGTGAGTTTGGGGCCAGCCTGGGCTACATGAGACCCTGTCTCAAACAAAACAGAACAAAGGAAATTGTTATACACCCTGGACTACCTCCTCCATGAAATCCAATTCTGTGACTCAGAAATCACCAAGGTGACAGGAAACAGGCGGTGAAAACCTTCCCTGCTGTTGAAATCATTCGGTTCCATCTCTTTTACCCCTGAACAGATGACAGTGATGAACAGCAAAGTGACATTGTTGAAGAGGAAGACAAGCCAGTTGGATGAAGATAGTCCACTGTCAACGGGTTTTGCAAGTTCATTCCGTTTTGACTGCCCTGCCCGGGAACTTGCATTAGTGACAGCTGGGGTTCCTGGCACAGACAGTCGTCTCCCCTCACATCTTCATTTGGTGTGAGTTGCCTCGGCCGCGTGAAGTGCACTGGGAAGGAGCAGTGGGTACAGGGCAAAGCTACGGTGGTGTACGAGGTGCCACTTTGTGTGACACCTGGCTCTGTCCATGTTGATTTACTGTGACACTGATTGTTTTTTTTGGGGGGGCACTCACTTGATATCTGTGCACTGTGCCGCTATTCTGTAGTCATGGTTTGCAGCAAGCTTGCTAAACAGGAAGGGGCATGGAGGTGGGGCTTTTCATCACTGTTGAGGTAAGGAACCAGGCCCCTTCCAGGGAGAGGGGAGGCAGTTTGGTTGGACCTGAGAAGTCAGACATTGAGACTTCTTTCTTGTTGCTTTGCCTCTGTTTCCCCATCTAGAATAAGCATGAAACAGCACCACTTTCCAAGTTCCTGAGCAAAGGAGGAGGTAGTTTAGGGTGTAAAGGTGTCTAGGGCGGTGCTCAATAGAGCTGCTGTAGGGGCCCTCTTTGTAGACCGAGTCTACTCTGCCCACCCCAGCCATTCTCTTTTACCCTAGAAAAGGATTACCTTTCCTTATAGCGTCATGGTTTACAGACCTGTGTGTGGTTATAATAGCCTTCTAAATGATGGACCTGAGGCCAACTTCTGGCTCCTCTTTCCTCGTGTCTCCTGTGCTGTGCAAGGAGGCAAGGGAAACATTTCTAGCAGATTCCCTGGATGAACTGGACAGACAGTCCACTTGGCCTCATTTTCTGTGTCTTAGAAATAGGAATATGTGTTTCCTTCCTACTTACTGGATGTGCTCATCAAGAACAGTAAGCTTCAAAAGAGAAAGGTGGGTGATGAGTTTAAGTTGGAACAGCTAAGTGCTGGGGATTTTTCTTTTAAATTTCATCTAATTATTCTGAAGTCAGGGATCTTCTAAAGGTGCAATAGGTGTGTGCTAGCCATGAAAATCTGACTTGGAATTTGCACTCTCGACTTGTGCTCAGACAGGACAAGGTGCAGGGCTCTAAGGGATGACTGTTCTCTTTGAATGCAGGCACTGAACTGAAGAAACCACTGCCAATATGGCTCCTTGTGAGCTCCAGGAAGTTCAGGTGGCTGTGAATTTGAGCCCTTGGGAACAGCAGTGAAGTAGTTCTCTGACTTAGTGGTACCTCATACACTGGACCACTCCAGTCTCTGTCATTTCACAGTGGGATACTCAGGCTGCCATCAGTCCTGGGAGCTGGCCTCTCCTTTGAGGCTTGATGACAGAGTTCCTGAGTTATCTGTGACTCAGAGGCAACTCTAACTGGGGAGAAGCTAGGTGGAGAGGAAGTCATAGCTGGGAACATGGTGAATGTTTGGAGATCACTCGGTGCTTCCCACAGCTTCCTCTTCTGCACACACCTGGCAATAGGAAATGTTTGAAATATTTGAGGGTTTTTCCACCAGCAGATGGGAGCTCCAAGGGCTTGGTGCCAAATGCTGTTCTGAAACCCTGACCAGTTATCACTGTCACTTTTATCAGCCTGAATGCACATTTATAAAATAGCACATCAGTTGAGAGCCCAGGCACTAAAGGGCTTCATGTTGGATTTGTGAAAAATTGGAGCCCTCATCCCCTTTGTTCCCTTAACTCAGTTCATACCCAGATCTCACGGCATATGGACGATGGTTACAGACTTTGTATGGGAAGTCCAATTTGTGCATTGATCTTTAAAAAAAGGCTTATCTGCATGTATCAGTTAACTCTTGAAATCCCCTTGTGAGGACCAGGGGGGAAAAACACTCCAGGGTTGTTTTCATCACATTGATTTCCCTCAAGCCCAGCAGACACGGGAGAGGGGTTCTGCAACCCTGTAGACACGGGAGAGGGGCTCTGCAAGCCCAGCAGACACGGGAAAGCGGCTCTGCAACCCTGTAGAAGCACACACGTGTCATCCTCAAGGGTACAACTTTGTACATTTAGTGCCAATTCAGTTTCTCAACACAGGGCTGGCGGCCAGCTGCTGCTAAGAGACTGACTGCAGGTAGCTCTGTGTGATCGACCTTACCATTTGAGAGGAGAAATTAGTTATGAAGTTGTGAATTTTTTAAAGATTTTGGAATAAAAGTTATTTTTTAAGCATATACCTCAGTGATCTTGATTTCTTTATTTCTTTTTGGTTTTTTGAGACAGGGTATCTTTGTGTAGCTTTTGGAGCCTGTCCTGGATCTCGATCTGTAGACCAGGCTGGCCTTGGATTCATATAGATTCACCTGCTTCTGCCTCCCAAGTGATGGGTTTAAAGGCTTGGGACGCCACCACCTGGCAGTGATCTTGATTTATACCTGATGAGTAAATGTAAAGAATTGGGGGGTGGAGAGTTATGCCTGTAATTCCTGCACTCAGGAAGCTGAGGCAGGACTGCTATGAGCTTGAGTCCAGCCTAGGGTACAGAATGAGACCTTGTCACTAAAAATCAAACAGGGCTAGCAAGATATGACTCAACCCATAAAGCATGACAGACCTGTGTTCAATCTTGGACCCACAGGTAGGAGAGAACCTATTCCCCAAAGTTGTTCTCTTACGTCCCCGTGCACCCCCATGGGATCTCACATCCAGCCGTGCACACACAGAGTAAATGAATGTTTAAAAAAAAAGGAAACCCAAGTAACAAAAGACGATTGGGGAAGAGCTGGAGAAAGTTAGTTTAGTTTTGTCATTCTTACCACTTTACCTTCCATGACTTGTGCAAGTGAATGCTAAATATAAGGAAGGGTGTGGCTCACTGATAGCTTACCTGCGGGAGGTCCTGGGCTCAGTCTCTAGCACCTCAAAACAGAAACGGTTACAACAACGTAACATTAAAACACGAGAACCTGAAGACACCAGGGAATGGACATTTGAGAGAGAAAGAATAGAGAGGGAGCAGGAGAGATGGCTTAGTAGCTGAGAGCAGCTGCTGCTCTGCGAGAGGATCTGGGTTCAATTCCCAGCACCCACATGACAGCTCACAACATCTGCTGATCAGTTCCAGGGAATCCAATGTCCTCTTCTGGCCTCCTTGGACTCCAGGCATGCATGTGTACAAACACATGCAGGTAAACACCAAACACAGAATAAAAACTAACACCAACTACAGACAGTACCTTTGGCCTCCACACGGATGTATCCTCCTGCCCATGAACACTGAAACGGAAATGACAGAGGTGGGGGAAACAAGGCAGGTTAGAAAGAAGTGGGAAGAGAGATGGAAAAATGAGATGAGTCTAGGCCGGGCGGTGGTGGCGCACGCCTTTAATCCTAGCACTCGGGAGGCAGAGGCAGAGGCAGGCGGATCTCTGTGAGTTCGAGGCTGGGCTGGACCGATAGCCTCCAAAACAATACAGAGAAACCCTGTCTCGTAAAAACCAAAAAAAAAAAAAAAAAAAAAAAAAAAAAAAAGATGAGTCTGGAGAATAGAACTGGAATCTAAGGAGATCGGGAAGGACATCAGAGATTTAAAAAAATGAGGATGAGAAAGGGATGTGTGGGTGGTGGTGGTCCTTGGACAGACAACTGGTAAACAGTGGGTATAACCCAGAAGACCTGAGGAGAAATGGGTCATAGATAGTGCGACTGGACTAAAAAGTAAGTGGAAGAGAAGCGTACTACGGGAGAAGGCAAAGGCAAGGGTCCGGGTTCAAAGCTTGGAAGAGCAATTACTAAGCCCATCATTTCATTTCTCCTTTCCCGCCTCCACGAGAGGGAAAGAACCATGTGACTCAAAGGGGAAGGAAATAGGGCGATTGCGCTTTGAGAAAAGTCCAGGCTGGGGACAGGAAAAGGGACTTGAGCGACCTTGAGGGTGGGTGAGGCGGTGACAGGACACTACCAGGGATTACAATTAGAGCCCAAGGCCAGTTAAGTACAGAACCTGGTCCCCTTTTCTCCTTTCTTCCCCTTGTTCTGGCTCCAAGTTAAAGAAATTCGACTGACCAGAAGGGGACCAGGACCCGAGGGTGTCAAGACAAGCAGAGGAGAATTTCTCAGGGACTTCGGAAAGATGGGGTGCCTCGGCCGAGAGTGGGGTTCAGCCTGGGCTCTAACCTCACCTCCCCAACCCCCTCCCCCTCGGGGATGTTGCCAAGGTCGGCATTCCACCCCCACCATGATCCCTAGCTCCTTGACCCCAGTCAACACTCAGCATCATGACGAGCTTCCCTGAGCCTCGGACTGTCCCTTAGGCCTCTTCGCTTCATGCCCGCCCCGCCACCCGCATCTTCACCTGCTGCTATTCTGGGCTTTCGCTTTAGATCCTGTCAGAGCCCCCACGCCCTCCTCAGTCAGGCCTCGGGTTTTAGTTCGATAAATTTCCACATCGGACGCGGTTCTAAACCCTTTCCCGTTGGCTCCCCGAGTCTCCTCCATCAGCCCAGGGTTAACAGTTGCCCGACCGCCGCTTCGCTCTATCCCTGCCCCGCTTCCCTCTGAGCCCTGCTCTAACCTGAGCCGGGTTCGCGATCCCCCACCCCCCCAAGATCAGGCGTTTTCCCCGGCCAGGGATCCTTCAGCACTACGTCCCCCGGCTTCACGCTCCCACAGCACGGCGCTGTGTCCCTTTAGCTCGGCGTCCCCCACCCCCTTCAGCCCAGTGCCCTGCCCCCGGTTCCTTTCATCCCTGCGTTCCCTCCCGGCCTTATGTCCCCCGGCCCCGCGTCCCCTGAGCTCCGCGTTCCCCCAGTCCAGTGTCCCCCGAGCTCCGCGTTCCCCCGGCCCCGCGTCCCTTAAGCTCGGCGTCCCCGACCCCCACCCCCAGCCCCTCCAGCCCGGTGCCCAGCCCCCGGACGCCGCCGCGTTCCTGTCCCCGGTTCATCCCTGCGTTCCCTCCTGGCCTAGCGTCTCCCCGCCTTGCGTCCCCCGGCCCCGAGTCCCCCGAGCTCCGCGTTCCCCCCGGCCCGGCGTCCCCCGAGCCCCGCGTTCCCCCTTCCCCCCCGGCCCCGGGCCCACCCCACGCCCCCTCAGCCTGGCGTTTCCCTGCTTGCTCCCGGCCCCGCCCCCGCCGGCCGCCATGTGACGGGAAGCAGCTGATGGCCTCTGCGGGCGGCGGCGGCGGCGGCGGCGGGGCGGGGGCGGGCGACGCGGGCGCGGAATGAAGCCCCGCGGCCCTGGGGGCTGAGGTCCCCGCCGCCGCCTGGCGCGGCCCGCGCGTCCTCATGGAGGCCGGAGGTGAGTGCGGCGGGGACGGCGGGGCGGGGACCCAGGTGGGAGCGCAGCTTTGTTTCACTTTCGCTGTCAGCGGCGCCCGCCGTCCTCCAGCGGCCGCGGGGACCGGAGAGGGCGGCCGACCGGCTTGGCCGGATCCCCGAGCTCACGCCGAGGGCGCCGGGCCCTGGTCGCCTGCGACATCCCGGCCTCAACGCCCGCCGCGGCTCTGGAGTAGCAGCGGCAGCTGGGTGGGTGCCTGGGAACGGGGTGGGGCCCGGGACGCTGCGCTGCGGTGACACGTAGGACCCGACACCCTGGAGGGTGAGGTCCAGTCCCGGCTCTGCCCTTGTCCCCAGATGTCACCAGGAACCCTGGAAGAGAGAGAGCCTGGGATGGACTTCCTGACCGCCTGGAGAGCGCCGAGTGGCTCAGGAAGGCTTAGACCTGCAACCCCCGGGGCTTCTCTCTCAAGGGCCCTTGGCCCTGCGGCCCGCCCACAGAATAGTGGCCTGGATTGGGGTGGGGGAGGTACTGCCAGACTCCAGGGTCCCCAAATTCCCGAGCTTAAAGGCAGTTTCCGTAGGGCAATCTCAGAAGTCAAGGCCTAGGGCTCAGACTTGGCCCCAGTGAAGTTCAAGCCTCGCCTAGGTCTGCAGGACTAGGATGCCCCCAAGGGCTTGCAGTGCTGGGTGGGATGTTTGCAGGCGGGTATTCCCTGGGGTGGTGTCCCCTTTGCATTTAGGAAATGACATTTCTTTGTTTGCAGTAGCCAGGCTTTCAGGGATAGGTGTCACCGGCAGTTCTCCAGGTTTCCATCTAGATAAAAGCTTTGAGCATTTTCCCCATAGAATTCTATTTAAATGGCCTCTACTGATTTCTTCTGTGAATCTCTTTATAGCTTCCGCTCTCTCCTATTAATGCCTTATAGTTAAATCTCAAAGCAGTCTCTGACCAGACTCCCCCTTCTTCATGGTGCAGTTTTCCCCTCTAGTGATTGACCGTGTTGTAAGGATGTGGGCAGAATTGTTGAGAGCTGCCAAGCCACTGTTAAAAAGGCCAGACACTAGGCTAGAGTATTACAATAGAAAAGAGTAGAACAGTGGTTAGAATTAATTATTAAGTCGGGCGGTGGTGGTGCACGCCTTTAGTCCCAGCACTCGGGAGGCAGAGGCAGGCGGATCTCTGTGAATTCGAGACCGCCTGATCTACAAGAGCTAGTTCCAGGACAACCTCCAAAGCCACAGAGAAACCATGTCTCGACCCTCCCCCGAAAAAAGAATTAATTTGTTAATTCAACAAATATTTGTTGAGTATCTACTATGTCCTGGGCTTCCTCTAGTTCATTGCTGGTCCATAGAAATATAACAGCAATATGTAATTTAAATGTAGTAGGCACGTTTTAAAAAGAAAAAAAATCCTGGAAGTGGTAGCCCATGCATTTAATCCCAGCATTTGGAAAGCAGCGGCAGGTGGGTCTCTGTGAGTTCAAGGCCAGCATGGTCTATAGAGAGTTCTGGAGAAACTGTGTCTCAAAAAACAAACAAACAAACAAACAAAAGGAAACAGTTGCAATTAAAAAGCTGTCTACTTCAGGCTAACATCTAAAATATTCCAAACTGATTCATTTATGTGGTCAAACAAAAGTTACAGGACTGTTTTGGACTCAAAAAAATTTCTGTGTGGGTGGTTTAACTACCTGTATATCTGTACCACGTGGTGCATGTAGTATCTGGTAGAGCCGGAAGAGGGCATCATAGCTCTGTACGAAGTTAAAGATGGTTGTGAGCCACTAGGTAGTGCTGGGAACGGAACAGCAAAACACATGCTCTTAACATCTGAGCCACCACTACCACTGAGGTTTTGCAGTCTGGTGTGTATTTTATTCTTTTTAAAAACTGTTCTTACATTTATTTGTATTTTATGTATATGAGTTTTTTGCATGCATATATGTCTGTGCGCCATGCATGTGCCTGGTGCCTGCAGAGGCCAGAAGAGAGGGAGTGAGATCCCTTGAACAGGAGTTACAGACAGTTGTGAGCCACCATGTGGGTGCTGGAAATTGAACCCAGGTCCCCTGCTAGTGTATCAAGTGCCCTTAACTGCTGAGCAGTCCCTCCAGCTCCCTTCTTAACAGCTGTGCCACATTTCATTGGTCAGCAACTTCTTGTGACAAGTGATAGACAGGCAAGGAGGACTGAGGAGGAGATAGCCACAAATGCTACCCAGAAAGCCCTAGTGTAAAGAAAGCTAAATGGCTAACACTAAAGGAAAGTAACTTAGTCACCTTGGTGAGTCAGGAATGTCACCAAGAAGCTGATGTGGATACAGACAGGGCCCTGCTATTCTTTTTTTTTTTTTTTTTTTTTTTGGTTTTTCGAGACAGGGTTTCTCTGTATTGTTTTGAAGCTTGTCCTGGAACTCACTCTGTAGACCAGGCTGGCCTCGAATTCACAGAGATTCACCTACCTCTGCCTCCCGAGTGCTGGGATTAAAGGCGTGTGCCACCAACGCCTGGCTAGCCCTGCTTATTCTGATGGAGCCGCCAGTCAATACTGTCCAAGCTGATGGGACAGCGTAGCAATGCAAAGATTCCCAAGGCAGGAAGGACCACGAATCCCACTACCAGCTGGGTTCCTGGCTCCACCTCTGCTAAAGCAAGCAAGCCTCATGTGCAAAGAAGTGCTTGAGAAGTGTCTTTCCATTCTGCCTGACTGTCTACATACCCCTTGTTCAGTTGGAAAGCCTGGAAGGGGGTGGGGTAGGGCAACGCTGGTTAAAGCTTGCAGAACTTCAGCTCCCTAGGATGGTGACTATGGTTAATAACACAGTTATATACTTGGAAATTGCTGACAGGTTTTCAGGAGAGTCCCCACTGAAAAAAATGCTAAGAATGTGAAGGAGTGCATATGCTCATTAGCTGACTGAGCCCTCCTCCCCCACTGCCTGTATATCAATGTCAGTATATCACATGGTATCCAATAAGTATACTTGCCTATCAATTGAAAAAAAAACCCAATCCAAGCAAAGAGAGTCATGTAGGTATAACCTTAGATGAAGCTGGATCTTTCTAGTCTGTTTCATTTGTTTTGAAGTTGTGCACGCTAATTATGGCTTTGTTTTCCAGACTCCAAGAGACAGCTCCTGGTTTCTTCTTTTAGAGTCTAGATTCCTGACCTAAAATAGCAAGAGATGAAACCCCAAATCCCAGAAATAGAGTATGAATTCTGGGCAGGGCTAGGGCTTAAGAATTTTGTGAGAATGATGGCACAAGCATCTTGGTAGTCTGAGGGGGTTCCCTTTCCTCTATATTTAAGGTTGTATTCCATGTCTGTTTGTCACCGAGGGTCTCCTGGTAGCCTGACTGCCGGCATTGGGAACAGCATAGAAGGTGCTGCTGTGAGCAGACCTCCTCGTGCTGAGGGGTAATGATCTCAGTAGTGATGAAGAATTAGTGAGGAGTTGCCAAGGCACTGGGCTGGGGTCAGAGCGAGCTGTCCTTTGAGTCAGTTAGTGTAGAGTAGGGGCAGCCATGGAGAGGCATTCCCATGGAGGGAACAGTTGGTGCAAAGTCCTGAGGGTTGGAACTAACTTGAGCTTAGTCAGATGGGAGAGGGCAAGAAAAGAAGAGGCCCAGTCTGGGTTTGAAATGAAGGCAGGGAGTCAGGGACAGTATATTTGGTTTGATTCTAAGAATAAGTGAAACTACAAGCTAAGAGGCAAGGAGAATGGATGATTAGGAGCCAAAGCAGAACCCAGGAGCAGTTAGAAGACTGTATGTAGTCCAGGCAACAGGCCGTGCTGCAGAGAGTCAAATAGTAGCCGTGGAGATGGGAAGGAGGTGTGGTGAGGCTTTTTGAGACAGGCTTGACTGAACTCGACAGTGAGTTGGTTTGGGCATTATAGAAATCAAGGCTGGGCCCTTTTATGTGGTGTGGTGCACCGTCATGTCCGAAGAGTGGCTGCTGTGTGTAGGAGGAAGTGAGTCAGGGGCAAATAGTGTCAGGGTGGATGCAGTTTTCTCAGGCGCATCACTGTTGACACTGAGGGCAGAACATGTTCATTTCCCCAAGATAAGGCTCATGCAGACACATTGCATGCACCAGAGGGGTCCAACACAAGCACATACAGCTTTCTAGGAGGAATGATCCCAGTCTGTATGCACAGCAGTTTAGACCCAATGTATTAAAACCTGTATCTCGAGCTGGACAGTGGTGGCACACGCCTTTAATCCCAGCACTCAGGAGGCAGAGGCAGTCGGATCTCTGTGAGTTTGAGCCAGCCTGATCTACAGAGTGAGTTCCAGAACAGGCTCCAAAGCTACAGAGAAATCCTGTCTCGGAAAACATAAAAAACTATATCTCCACATATAACCTCAGGCAATGAATGCTTTCTTTATAAAGCCAAGATATGATGCATTAAAATTCTGTTTGAAGACTAAATTTTCAGCACATCTGTGGGCCCAGCAAAATAGCTCAGTGAGTTTTTAAAAGCACTTGCATCAAGAATCATTTTAAGCCCCCAGACCTATGGTGGAAGGAGAGAACTTGCTCCGGAGAGTTGTTGTCTGACCTACGCACGCCCTATGACATTCATGTGTGACCTCCTCCACACACCCTGTGACATCCGTGTGTACAACCATAAAGATTCTTGCACACATAGCAGAAAATGCTTTTTTTAAAAATGTGCCTTCTGTGTCACTGATACAATGCTAACCATGGATTAGCATTGTGTGTCACCAAGGAAAGATGTGGCCCTCTAACTAGGAAAGTGTGTGCCAACTGCTTTGAAGCCCAAATGTAAGAGACACATAAAAGCAGGTTTTGGAATAATGAAATACAGCTTTTTTAAATTAGATTCTAGAGTCTGGAGGGGTAGCTCAGTGGTTATGAGCACTGGCTGAGTTGGGTGGTGGTGTTGGTACATAACCTTTGATCCCAGCACTCAGGAGGCAGAGATAGAAGGATCTGTCAGTTTGAGGACAACCTGGTTTACAGAGTGAATTCTAGGATAGCCAGGGCTACACAGAGAAACCCTGTCTCAAAAAACAAACCAAACCACTGGCTACTCTCTTAGAGGGTCTGGGTTCCATTGCCAGCACCCACATGGTGGCTCACAACTATCGTAACTACAGTTCCAGGGGACCCAACTCCAGGCCTCAGACTTACAAGTCAACTGCGGAGGAGCTGTGGTTAGGTTGGAGGAGCACTGCCCACTCTGAGGAGGGGGGCGGGTGCTGTCATTTCAGTGGTGCGGGACATGCTCAAGTGCTGGCCTCCAAGAGAATGAAATGAGGTTGATAGTGGGAGGTCGGGGTGCTGCCTGTCAGTAGACCTAGGTGTGAGTCTTAGAAGCAGAAAACAAACAGGACATGAATGGCAAGGGACTTGTACCCTGCAGGGAAAGGAACAACATAGCAAGTGACTCGATGGAGGGTTTAGTGAAGGGGTGTGGTGGCAGGCCTCCGTGGTAGACCTGGGAGCCTTGGATGTGTGTTTTCTGCTTTGGCAGGGTCTCTAGAGGCACAAGAGTGTATTAGTAGTCACTTAGAGCAGGTTAAACTAGGACTAAGGACATGGGGAGAGTAGGAAGTAGAACCAGTAGGTCTGCCCTGAAAGGAGGTGGGAGTGGGAAGTAGCCCTTGAACTGAAGACACCAGGTTCCTTTTGAGGAGGACCATAAAGGCTTTCATTGGCTAGAGTCCAGACAAGAGGCCTCTCACTTTCTTCCTGCCTAGGCATTCACAGGAAAATGAGGCTTCATTCACCAAGTCCACCACCAGGGTTACTCTGAGTCATGCAGTGGGAAGGGTTGCCACTGAGTAACCACAGTGGAATGTAGCCTGTGGCTACTGTTACTGCCCTAGGTCATTTGAGCAACAACTCTCTCCCACCAAGTCTTGGGCAGACAGCAGCTTCCCTAGTCTGGTGGTGAGGCTAAAGTATGACGTCTCCTTCCCCAGAGGAACCGCTGCTGCTGGCTGAACTCAAGCCTGGGCGTCCCCATCAGTTTGACTGGAAGTCAAGCTGTGAGACCTGGAGTGTGGCCTTCTCCCCAGATGGTTCCTGGTTCGCCTGGTCTCAAGGACACTGCGTGGTCAAGCTGGTCCCCTGGCCATTAGAAGAACAGTTGTAAGTCTTCTTGGTACCCTAGGGGATGAGGGAGGTCCATGAGGAGCCATTGGGTGCTTTCCCAAGTTAGTCCCTGCTCTTTGGGGTCTTTTCCAAAAATTGGTGAGCAAAGAAGGGCTAAACAGTTGAGGACAGGGTCCCAAAGCCCCACATTCTATACATAGAGAAGCCAGGTCTGTCTGTAGAGTTTGTTGGCCTCACACTGACATTTTTGACAATTTTATTGAGCTAGAGGTGACACCCATACCGTTTGACCATTTGAGGTGCCTGTGCTCTGTGATGTACTTTTGTAATCGCAGTACTCGGGAGATGGAGGCAGGAGGACCCCCAGCTGAAGGGTAGCTTGCACTAGGTGGTGAGACTGTCTTAAAAGAAAAACTCATACTAGAGTGTACAGTGCAGCAGTGTTTAGTATTTGCACTGAGTTGTCACCTGTCACCAAAACCAATTCTAGAACATTGTCACTTCCTCAACAGGACCTCTTTTCAGTTGTCCTTCTCTGGCTTTGGCCTGGTGACTACTATGTCTTCTGCCCCCACTGTCATGACTACTTCTTACTGGGATCTTTCTGCATGTGTCTGTCTTAACACAGCTCTGAGTGCCTCACGGTTCACCCAGGCTCTGTGTGTGTGTGTGTGTGTGTGCCACTTCTGTTTACTGCCCAGTGACAGGTACTAGTGTGAGGTGCCAGACTCAGTTCACAGGCTTCTCACTGGTGGATGTTAGGTTTTGTCTGTTGTGAACAGCTTTGCTCTAAATGTTTCTGGACACATCTGCATGGGCGTGTGCATCCAGTGTTGGACTAAGAGAGTGACCAGCTGTTTTCCACAGTGCATGGTACAGTTTTACATTCCCCCGGCAGTGTCTTCAGGTTTGGAATTCTCTACATCCTTGGGACACTTGACTCTTGTCCTCTCTTTGTTCCAGCCTGGCACTCCTGGTGCAAGGTGGAATCTGTTTTGCATTTCCATCCTGGCTGAGGTTGTTGAGCCTTTTCTGAGTCCTCCCTTCTGAAAAAATACCTCCTCAGGTCTCTGGCCATTTTTAATTGGGTCTCTGTTTCCTCTTTGTTTGTTCCTTTGTTTTCTAACCGAGCTTATAGTTTCTGATCTTTTCATGGGGTAGACAGGCTTCAGGGTCTGAATGCTGTGAGCTCCTGTTTGATGTAACTCCTGTCTGTCCTGTGGTAATTGTGTGTGTGCATTTATTTTTTTATTCAACCAGTGTGTATTTATTTATTGCAAATCTTCATCACTTGGCACTGAGCTAGAGGTGGAGAACACAGTATACATCAGTGTTCGTTCTGGGGCCTCTCAGTGTCTCTCAGAAGTAATGGGCTAGATTTATGCTTGAATACCTTTTGTGAGAAACATACTGCCTTGATAATGGTAATGCCACCAAGAGTTCTGGTTGTCCTAGGCAGGCTGCACTGCTGGGGAGGAAGGTGTGACTTACACAGTCCCCACTTCCTGGAACCCAATTCTCAAGAATCCTTGGAATGCCCAGAGTGGAGGCTACTGAAGTGACTGGTTGGTGGGCTGCCTCCTTGGGGTGCACTAAATGATTTCCAGTCACTGTCTTCTGTAGTAGGAAGGGAAGGTCAAGGTCATTCACTACTATGTGTTATATTTTCTAAGGAGCCTTCAAGAGAGACACTTTGTATCTTGATCAGAGTCTAAAGTCAGCCGTTGTCTGAAAGTCTTTGTTGTTTTGCTTTTGTGTTTGTTTTCCTTCAGGGCACTCTTTCTCAGGTGTATACATTGTTATAGGTAAAGACCCCTCCTGTGATGACTAAGAAAACCAGAAGAGGTGTTGCAATGCCTGTCCTTTTCCTGTCATTTATCACAGCAAGAAAAGTATTTACTAGTGTGTTACGTGAGAAATGACTTGACTGGGGGGACATCACAGGTTTTGAAGAGTGATAATCAATGTAGTGCAGTGCAGCGCAGTACAGGCAGATGGCTTCTTTTAACAACAGCTAGACATGGCACTGCGCCTGTCATTACAGATGCTTGTGAGGCCGAGGCAGGAAAGCTGCCCAAGCAACCTAAGTAAGACTCAAATAGAATGCTCAGCAGCAGGGCCTTCTACTGGAATGTATGAGGCTTTAGCCTCCATCCCTACTGAAAAGAATACAAACAGCAAAACAAACCACACCACTATGATGCAGTAATGGGTACCATGTGCAGGCATGGTATGCAGTAGGCATATGCAGTGGAACAGTAGTGTGATATGACCCACATGACTTCGTTAGAAGTGAATACACAGCCATTTGTGCTGATCTGTTCACTGAGGTTAAAATGTGCTTGGCTTGTGACTTGCTTTGTCCTTGCTGGACCTTGGACCAGGCCTTTGTGCAAAGACTCTTACCACAGGGCTATGACGCCAGTCTGTGAGTAACATTTGTTATTTGTTTCATTTCTGGATATCCCATTGTTTCTTATGTTTTGTAAGTTACAATAATTGTCACTGGCAGCATTTATAGTCTTGTTAGGGTGTATCTGACCCTTTGTCTACTTATTTATTCATTTTTTGCCAGAACAATCAAAGGACAATTTGTAGGCATCAGTTTCCATCGTGCGGGTCCCAGGCATTGAGCTTGGGCTTTCAGCGTGGCAGCAAGTGCCCGCATCCCACCTGCGGCAGATACAGAAATAAGAGCACTGCTTTTCACAAATTAGAAGTTCTACGCTGTTTTATTACTCCTGTGACTTGTTCCTTTTTCTCTTTAGAGACAAGGTCTCCCTGTGTGGTCCACACTGGTCTTGAACTACTGATCCTCCTGCATGAGCCTCCCAAGTGCTAGGATTACAGGTATGCAGAACCATACACTTAGCTCTGTGGCCTTTTTTCCCCTCCCTCTCTCCCTCCCTCCCAGTCATAGAGACCTTGATGAGGTGACACTGGCCCATTTGGACCAGGGGCTACAGGAAGTTTGATTTTGGTGTCTGCATCCCAGGATAAGATGCTTCACATTTGGAAGCTGAAAAACATGGTGGGGTGTCTGGGTCACGTGACACCCTCCAGACTCCTATAACCCCCTTCATTTTACAGTACTGTTTTTATCTGGAGCAGCAGCATTCTTTCTCCAGATAATGACTGGCTGGGCTCTAAGGGTACTGTCTGTCCTGACTGGTGGGCTCCTTTAATATTATGCTGTGCATAGAAATGAGGGAGCCACTTCCCAACGAAGATTTGTTATGTATACTGTGATCTTTCAGCATGTATCCCTGCACACCAGAAGAGGGCGCCAGGTCTCATTACAGATGGTTGTAAGCCACCATGTGGTTGCTGGGAATTGAACTCAGGACCTCTGGAAGAGCAGCCAGTGCTCTTAACCTCAGAGCCATCTCTCCAGCCCCCAAAACCTCTATTTTTAAACCCTGTCATTTGGCTGGAACTGGACCAGCATATCTGTAGTCTCAGCTCTCAGGAGGCAGAAACAGGCATATCTCTATGAGTTCCAGGCTAGCCAGAGCTAGATAGTAAGATCTTGTCTCAAAAACAAGTTCACCGGGCGTTGGTGGCACATGCCTTTCATCCCAGCACTCAGGAAGCAGAGGCAAGCGGACCTCAGTGAGTTTGAGACCAGTGTGGTCTACAGAGCAAGTTCAGGACAGCCAGGGTTACACAGAGAGACCCTGTCCTGAAAAAACAAACAACAAACAAATCCAGTCATTTTTTACAACATCGATAAACCCAGAAGACATTGTAAACAGTAAAATAGGTTAGATGAGGCACTTGACCTTCTCATATGTTGAGTCTGATAGACTGATAGACACAGGAGTGCGGTGCTGGCTACCGAGGATGAGAGTGGTGTGTGACTACATGTTGGCAAGGCTGCAGAGCCCCGGTGGTGGGTGGGTTCTGGGCTCTGATATCCACTTGGAAGCTGTTGACTTTTTAAAAAATGACAAATAAAAGAACTGTTGAGAGCATAAAGCAGATAGAGCTGCCCTGGGTATACTCTGCTGACCTCCAGTTTATGTTAGAGAGCCTCCATTTCTCCAGATGAGCTTGATATTTTTTTTTTAACATACAACACTACACAGTTGACAGAAATGTGGTTTAATGAATCTTTTCAGAACAGGTGAAAATAAAGCAATCCAGTCACATGTGTTATGTATAGGAATCTCATGAAATAAGTCTGAGCTTGCCTAGGGATCTGGGGTCCTCATCTGGTTTCCCGAACTGAGTGTCAAGATTGCTCAGAAAAGTGGGGCCTACTGTCTGCTGGCCACATACAGTGCGTGGAATAGTAAACGTATACTTTCAGACCAGATCTAGAGTGTCTGCTTAACCTGTGCTATTGTGACAGTATTGGGGCCAGTGGTGCACAGGGCCTGAGCTTCACTTCCCTGGACTTGTCTCCCAGTGGAATGTGAAAGGTCAGGGCTGGGCGGAGAGGTCCCAGGGGCAGTGTCCTCTGCAGTGCCTTGGTCAGCTCTTCCACTGATGAGTCCCAAGCTGGATGCTCTGCCAGGGAATAGGTGGAAGAAGAGTGAGCCTCATTGTCAGCTGGGGCGCAGCGAGGACAGACATGGACTGTCCTCATGGCTGGAGTGGTTCACTCCCAGCCTCCTGGGGATTTCTGAGCTGGAGATGGGGGCTTGTTGAGCAGGAGAGCGACAGATGGAGATTATCCATGTTCTAATTCTGTCTGTCCTGGTTCTAAACCTGTGCTGTACATTGCACACTTTCTCAAGGGGAAACGTGCTTGTTTCTCTCTAGGACCCAAACCCAAGAGAACTTCTTGAGCAAGTGTGCGGCTCCCTGGAGCCTGTGTGCTCTACTTATTCCACAAGGCAGGTCACCCCATTTCAGGGCTGTTGCAAGTTGAATGGGTCAAAGTAACGAAGTCTGTGTCCCATGAATTCCAAAAGAAATTGAAACCATACCAGAACTCACCAAATGCCAGAAGTGAGTTCAAGAAATTGAGTCTCGGGCTGGCATGCTGGTTGACATGGTTACAATTTAGACTCATTCAGGAATGTCTGCTTTGCCCAGCATCCCTAAAGGATTCGAAGCCAAAAGCCGGAGCAGCAAAAATGATTCAAAAGGACGAGGCAGCTTGAAGGAGAAGACACTGGACTGTGGTCAGATTGTGTGGGGGTTGGCCTTCAGCCCGTGGCCCTCCCCACCCAGCAGGAAACTCTGGGCACGCCACCATTCTCAGGTGCCAGATGTCTCTTGCCTGATCCTGGCCACAGGCCTCAACGATGGACAGATCAAGATTTGGGAGGTGCAGACAGGTATGTCCTTCTGGTTAGTACTAGGTCGGGGGCATTGCTCATGACATGTGGTCAGGCCCCATAGGCCCATGAACCACCACCAGTTGGCTGAGGAGTGGGCAGCGACTGGCAAGTCTGCCATCATCTTATATTGATCAAGGGCTTCTGCTTCCTCCAGGGCTCCTGCTTCTGAATCTTTCTGGCCACCAAGACGTCGTGAGAGATCTGAGCTTTACACCCAGTGGAAGTTTGATTTTGGTCTCTGCATCCCGGGATAAGACCCTTCGAATCTGGGACCTAAACAAACATGGTAGGGGAGGTGCCTGAGTATTGCATCCCTAATCTCACCAGTGCCATTTTACTAGAGTTGTCTTCTGTCTCCAGCTTACCCAGCAAGCCTTTCTAAGATGTTCTTATAGCTAAACATATTTTAATTCCAAAAGTTCACTGTATATTTTCCTGTAGGGGCAGGGTCTAGATCCTCCCCCCCAGGGCACCAATGCCAGAGAGTGCTTGTGCGTCTTATATAACTGCCATAGAATAGGAACAGAACCCACACATATGCCCTACTTTACACCATCTCTAGAGTACTCGTAATCTCTAACGTGGGGTAAGTGCTCTGAAAACAGTTGCTACATTGTATCGTTTAGGTAGCATTGACAAGATTTTATATTCAATACAGACAGTTTTTCTTGGGCGTTGGTGGCACATGCCTTTAATCCCAGCACTGGGGAGGCAGAGGCAGGCGGATCTCTGTAAGTTTGAGACCAGCCTGGTCTACCAAGTGAGTTCCAGGATAGCCTCCAAAGCTACAGAGAAACCCTGTCTCGAAAAACCAAAAAAAAAAAAAATTCTAATTTATTAGTATTGTCCTTGAGTAGAGGGAGCATAACACATGCCACAGCCTATATGTGGAGGTCAGAGGTCAGATTGCAGGATGAGTTCTCCCCGTCTGTGGGAAAATGAGGGCAATAAACTCCTCTTCCCTTGGTCAGCATTCTGGGTCAACAGCAGAGATGTATGGAACTCTCCCCTGAACACAGCTTGCTCAAGCAGAGTGCTATAAAAACTGACCACCTGCAGGGAGACAAGTACTCTAGGCTGAGATTCTACTTCATGGAGATTCCTTTTCTTTCAGGAAGCCTCCCAACTGGACTGCCTCTTGACCAGGGCCTCCCGGCCAGAAGAGGCACTATCCTTCAGGGAATACTGACGATGTCTGGAGAGGTTAAAAATGGCCTCTAGGGGCTGGAGAGATGGCTCAGAGGTTAAGAGCACTGACTGTTCTTCTAGAGGTCCTGAGTTCAATTCTCAGCAGCCATATGGTGGCTCACAACCATCTGTAATGAGATCTGGTGCCCTCTTCTGCAGGCAGAACACTGTATACATAATAAATAAATCTTTTTTTTTTTTTAAATGGCCTCTAAAGAGACTGAGCAAAGCCTGCTGGTCAGCAGCCTGGGATGGACAAGCTAACTCATGAGAGAGCACTGCAGTCCCAGAGGTCAAAACCCTGTTCTGAATCACACATCCTTAGAGGCAGCAACACTAGGGAGTGTCCAAATATGCTGTCCTGTGGTCAAAGTACAGACACTTTGAGACATCAATATGCAGCCAGTCCACATACCCATGAACACACATGAATGGTTTCATTATAGCCAGCCATATGTTGAAATGGCCTTTTTGAAGGCTGTCTTGGCTGGCAAGATGGCTCAGTGGTAAATGAACTTGCTGCCAAGCCTGACCACACATGGTAGAAAGAAATGGTAAAGGAGGCATTCGTAGAAGAGACAAATGACCCAACAAGAGAAGGGTCAATACTGAGCTGTCGTGGCTTTTCTGCTTCCCATTATGGGGCAATTCTCCTACCTTCTCAGAAGTGGTACCTTTAATCCCAGCACTCGGGAGGCAGAGACAGGAGGATCTCTCTGAGTTCAAGACCAGCATGGTCTACAGATCAAGTTCCAGGACAGCTTGTATTATTGGAAAAACAACAAAACCAAAATAAGAAATGACAATGGTAATTAGTGCTTTAGCCTTAGCTTGCATAGTACATACTATACAATGGTTCTCAGTTTGCCTAATGCTGCAACCCTTGATACTCTAGTGGTGGTGACCCCCAACTATAACATTATTTTCGTTGCTACTTTGTAACTTAAGTTTTGCTACTGTTATGAGTCATAATGTAAACATCTGTGTTTTCTTGGATTCACAGGGATTAGGTGACCCCAGAGGGGGTGGAGAAGCACTCTCCTGCAGCCTGAGGCTTCCTCAGTATGCAGCTGCTTCTCTGTTTGAAGGCAGGGAAGTCTAAGACCAAGGTGCAACAGGTGGCTGATGGCAGGGGGCTCACTCCAGCCCATAGATGGCTATTTCACCAGACAAAGAGGGCAGAGAGCTCTCTGTGCTTGCTTTCATAAAGCACTAGGCCCCCATGACCAATTTTTCCCCCAAAGACCCCATTCGAAGTACCATCACCTTGGAGATGGTTTGTAGCCTATCAAAGTTGGGGGTCCCCACCGTCTATAGCAGCTTGTAGCTAAACGGGTACAGAGGTGTTTGGAGCACCCTCATCCACACCACCCACTCACTAAGAGCATCTGTCTGGGACTGGACCTTGAAAACAAGCGGTCTAAAATGGGTTTGCCAGTGAGGACTTCTGGAAGTCTGGGCCCCCTTGAGTTAGGCACAAGCTCCATAGCTAAGCTACCCAGCAGCCTCAGCCCTGCTGTACTTTTCTTTCTGAGACAGGGTGTCTATGTAGCCCTGGCTGTCCTGGAACTCTCTACATAGACCAGGCTGTCCTTGAACTCACAGACCTGCCTGCCTCTGCCTTCCAAGTGCTAGAATTAAAGGTTTACGTCGCTGTGCCCAGCTCTGTCGTATTTTTCATGCTATGTGTGTTTAGCCTAGGTTGGCTCTGAACTTCATTGGAAATTGTGTTTCCTCCTCCCAAGTGCTAAGATGAGAGGCTTGAGCACACCTGATGGGAAGGTTCGAAGCAGGTTCAGTAAATCCCTCCCTGAAGGGGAGAATGGACTGGGTGACAGTGACTAAGTGTGTGGGACAGTGGGTGCTTTTCTCTTTTGTTTTTATTTATTTATTTATTTTTATTTTTCATTTTTGGTTTTTCGAGACAGGGTTTCTCTGTATTGTTTTGGAGGCTGTGCTAGAACTCGCTCTGTAGGCCAGGCTGGCCTCGAACTCACAGAGATCCACCTGCCTCTGCCTCCCGAGTGCTGGGATTAAAGGCGTGCACCACCAACGCCCGGCCCCTCTTTTGTTTTTAAAGTTTATGTGGATGTATGCACACCGTGTGTGTGTGTGTGTGTGTGTGTGTGTGTGTGTGTGTGTGTGTGTGTGTGTGTTACTCACAGAGGTCACAGGACGTGTCAGAGTCCTTGGAGTTAAGGATGGTTGTGAGCTGCCATACAGGTGCTAGGAACCAAACCTGGGTCCTCCACAAGTGCTCTAACCATTGAGCCATCTCTCCAGTCCCGAGTAGGGTTTTCCAGGAAAAAAAGGGACAAGATATGTTACCAGATGCCAGGCATTGTCTTACTAACCTGACTTGCCATAGTACATTTGGTTATGACAGCTTAATTGCCAGAGAAGTAACCACAGTTGAGTTTCACAAATTAGTGATTTATAGCCACTTGTACACGTGAACTTTGTGTGTTTTTTGCTTGGCTCTTTATGTCCCCATTGTTAGCTACCTTCCCTGTATGTCTTCCACACTTCCCTGACAATTGATAGCCATATCAGGAACCCAGGCTAGCTCCTTCCATAACTATGTATGTACTTGTGAAAATACTCCAGAATACACGTTAGGTTTTGAGGTCATTTCACAAAAACAGTCTTATTACTCATCTTTTTTCCCTGTATATTGCACTTCTCATTAAGCAATACCTGACTTGGGGAAGTCTGTTTCTATTCCTTCTGGACTGACACCCATTAACTCACTCATTCTCATGTGAGCCGGCCTTGAGAAAGCACAGCTTATGGCTGTACTGTGAGTGCACAGTGCAGTGGCCTCGGAACCAGGCTGTCTGAGCTCACAGCGCATGCCTCTGAGGACTGCTCCCTGCCATGCATGCTTGAACAGGGTTCCATGGGGAACTGTGAGACTGGCAAGTCTGGACAGGTGTGAGTGCTTAAAGTGCTGGGTTCCTGAAAAGATTGTCTTCTGTGCTGTGTGCCTTTGCCATGCTCACCTGTAAACCAGAGGAAGCCGCAGGGCGTGAGCTCCCTTGGCTTTCGGCTGCTGCGTTCATAGACTGCAGGTGTTCCCTTTGTCCTTTGCTTTCCAAGTGTTTAAAATGCCAGGTCTTGTTACAGTTCTTGTCCTGCACTAGAATGTGGGTTTGGGCTCTAGCTGAGAGCTAGATGATTGTACCGGGTCTCTTACATCCTGAGGGCTGATTCACCCTCTGCTCTTCTCCGGCAGGTAAGCAGATCCAGGTGTTATCTGGCCACCTGCAGTGGGTTTACTGCTGCTCCATCTCCCCAGACTGCAGCATGCTGTGCTCTGCAGCTGGTGAGAAGTCGGTAAGCATCCGGTGTGAGTATGCACAGCATGTGTGTACCTGAGCCAGAGTCCATCTGCTGGTGTGAGTATGCACAGCATGTGTGTGCCTGAGCGTGTGTGATTGTGTACAGCACTCATGTTCAGAGTACATCTGCCAGTGTGTGAGTGTGCACAGCATGCATGTGTTTGAGCCCTACACAACTCTCTGGAGGCTGGCACTTGAACATGACCGGGAGAGGAGGATTTGGAAATAGGTACGTCATCTCTGGGGGTGGTTCCTTTTCCAGAGTGGCCAAGTGCAGTATTTTCAGACTTTTTTCCCCTTTGGAGTCTAGGATTTTAAAATCTACAGCCCACATCCAGACCCCAGTTTCCTGAGTTGGAATCTGTCTAGTTTGACTCCATGTGATTAGGATTTACAGTTCAAAGCCTGGCAGCAGCAGCCATGGTCTGTTGTTAAAGGTACTGGAGCCCAGAGGCAGTCTGGAGAGGTAGTTTCTGTTCTGTAGGAGTTTCTGCAGCTTCACTGGCCTCACATGTGTCAGGATGGGAGGTTTGACATAGCTCAAGGACTTGAGCATGTAAGGTCTGGAATGAGCAAAAGTGAAGCATTTTCCTTCTCTTTTCTTGGCTACAGGGTCTTATGTAACCCAGGCTGGCTTCAGACTCATTATGTAGCTAAGGTGACCCTGAACTGATCCTCCAACCTACACCCTCAGACCCATTTTGGGTGTGGGGGGGTTCCAGTCAGGGTTTCTTTGTGGCTTTGGAGCCTGTCCTGAAACTAGCTCTTGTAGACTAGGCTGGTCTTGAACTAGAGATTCACCTGCCTCCCGAGTGCTAGGATTAAAGGTGTGCACCACCATCACCCGGCTCACTCTTAGACCCATGTTACTACGTAGTGCTGGGGATGGAACCCAAGGCTCTGGGAGGTGCTTAGGCAAGCTCTCTACTTAGCTACATCTCTAGCCTCAAGAGTTATGAAGATAAAAGTGGAAAATGGAAACCCTGTTTAGATGATTCACATCAAGGTTTAAAGTTAGGAGCTAGGTCAGATGCAGTCATGGGCTGGACTCCAAAGGGTGTGTGTGTGTGTGGAGGGGGTAATATGTGTTTTCCAGATAGGGTTTCTCTTCCTAGCTCTGACTGTCCTGGGAGTCGCTCTGTAGACCACACTGGCCCCGAATTAATCGAGATCTGCCTACCTCACAAGTTCTGGGATTAAAGGCGTGCTCCACCACCACCTGGTTTCCTAATCTTAAGCAAGGTGAATGTTAAATGTCTGGGAAGGGCACTGGTACTTGGTCTATGGAGCCACTCCTCATATCCGATCTTATGCTTGGCTTCAAGTGGAATGAGTTACCGATGCAGAGTTCTCTCTCCTTCAGCCCTGCTATCCTGTCTCCAGGAAGGACCAGAAAGCCGTGTGAATGTTGAGTAGGCAACCTTCTGTAGTGTGGCCTGGCCTGTGTGCTTTTACAATGGATTGCATCTTTGAAGTGCTGAAGCCTGCATGGTGGCGGGTTCTGCAGCCCCCCAGACTGTAGAAAAGGAGGAAGTTCCACTTTCTCTGCCTGAGGGGCAGGATCAGGGTTCCTGCGGTTGTAACTGCTCTGGCAGTTAAGCACCTTGCTTCTGCCCCTCACCAGACCAGTTCTGCCCTGTTGCAGGTGTTCCTGTGGAGCATGCGGTCCTACACACTAATCCGGAAGCTAGAAGGCCACCAGAGCAGTGTTGTCTCCTGTGACTTCTCTCCTGACTCTGCCTTGCTCGTCACAGCTTCTTATGACACCAGTGTGATTATGTGGGACCCCTACACCGGCGAGAGGCTGAGGTCACTTCAGTAAGGACCTTGTGGGGTTACACATGCCCCCTGAAATCTGGGACAGGGAGGGACACCTTGGATGGAAGAGGGCAGCTGGCCCTGCTTTGTGGTGCGGGGTCTCTTCAAGTCTATTGGTTCAGAATAGGAGACCACAATGACCATTTCCACCTGTTAACTGTAGTACCAGGTTCATAGTGACTCTCATCAGATCTGTCACCTCCAGTATAAAGTTCCCTGTCCTCACAAGCTTGCTCTGCTTTTTCCTTACTTTCTGTTGTTTCTAAAGCAAATGATAGTAGTCCTATAATTATCAGAGATCAGCCTAGAAAAGACTTTGTGTTTTCACTGTGACATTAAAGTGGGGGCTGACCTACTTTGCACAAGGAAATTAGCACAAGTATTGGTAACCCTTTTGACACCTCAAGACACTTGGAGCTTTCAATGGGCCTTATTTTCCAGTCTGCAGGTGCTACAGTTTTACATAAGGAGCACAGGTCAGAGCGTTTGGTTTACTGCCTGCGGGTGAGGATTCTTGGGGAGGGTAGCCATCATTCCAGACCTGTACTATTTCTTTGTAGTCACACCCAGCTGGAACCTCCCATGGATGACAGCGACGTCCACATGAGCTCCCTGCGGTCTGTGTGCTTCTCTCCTGAAGGCTTGTACCTGGCTACAGTGGCAGATGACAGGTAAGGGGGCATGCAGGAGACTGCCTTAGAGCTGGTTCTTGCAAGTAATGGCAGGCATTCCTTGCTGGACTCCAGCTCAGTGTACATGTGGCCTTCTGTCTCCCATCCAGGCTCCTCAGGATCTGGGCTCTGGAACTGAAGACTCCAGTTGCTTTTGCTCCTATGACCAACGGTCTTTGCTGCACATTCTTCCCACATGGTGGAGTTATTGCCACAGGGTATGTATCTGTGTTATTTTATCCTGCCATTGTGTCATTTACAGATGTTAGTAATTAAATGCAGCAACAGACATATGGCTCATACTGCCCTTAACAGCCAGTTCCACAAGGAGGCCTAAGATAAGGTGATGTGGAATTTATATGGACAATCATGGCCAAGATCACCTTACAGATGTGTTCTGTAATTGATAGTGGCACTGTCTGTTATTGTGCAAGCCCAGAGCCACCTTATGCTAGGCAAGCACTCTGCTATATCCCCAGCACCTTTCCTTTTGAGCTAGTGTGTAGTGGGCTGTGCTGACAGATGGCTTGTCATCAAAGGTATTTTCCTGTTTTGGGCCAGCCTTGGAATACCTGGTTCAGGCTCTCATCCTTCTTTAGTCTTATGTAGCCGTTGGGACCACAGGCATGGGTCTCATCCCCATAATCCTATGGTGTAGTCATTACCGAGCAATTTATAGCCCTTCCCAGTCAAGAGTGCACTTCAGCTTCTGGAGTCTCCTATTTCTAGTCAAACTGGGACAACCACTATTGGGAAAACTCCCTAGGGTCTGCTAAGGATTGGTTTCTGTTGTTTCAGGACAAGAGATGGCCATGTTCAGTTCTGGACAGCCCCCCGTGTCCTGTCCTCACTGAAGCATTTATGCAGGAAAGCCCTTCGAAGTTTCCTGACCACGTACCAAGTCCTAGCACTGCCAATCCCCAAGAAGATGAAAGAGTTTCTCACGTACAGGACTTTCTAGCAGCACCCGCTGTCCTAACTCCTGTAGCAGAAGCAATGCAAGGGACTGGCTAGGGTGGAGCCAGCCAGATCACACTGGACCCGCTGTGGACCTTTCTCCCCACTGGCATGTGCAAGTAGGTCTGAGTGATGCCACTTGTGTGGTGCCAGCTTTACCTCGTCGTTGTCATTGTGAGCAGCCTTGTCGGTCTCATTGTCTTGAAGCCAGGTGCAGTTGTGGATGTTGTTTGGGTAATAAATACAAGCAGGCTCCAGAGCCTGTCCAGTGGTGGCCAAGTCCACACTCCCTTCACTGGGAAGTGCCTGCCCAGTAGCACAGTGCCTGCTGCCCGTTTCTAGTCAGTGGCTGCATGGTTTGAAGTTCCTCTGCTCTGGTCAGAGGAACGAACATTGGTATTTGGCACATGCTTCTGGCCAGGACATTCCTATGGAACCAAGTTATGTTACTAAGCTGCAGGTGGACTGGGCTGTGCTCTTCGCCAATACACTAGTACTGGCTTTTATTTTTCTTTAAACAGTGGTGTGCATGTGTAGGAAATGACAAGTACATCAGATCATATGAGGAGGTGTCCTCAACTGCATGACGGTCAGATAGATGGCCATTTATCAGCATCATATTTATTTGTGTTTTCTCAGCAGATAGTAAGGTACAACTGTGTTTTCTCAGTGGTCTTTAAAAACCAAGAGTTCTTAAGTGGCCCAGTTGTGAAGCCATGTCTTAGTTGTGTGAAGTCAGTATTGTCACTGGCTCATGCTATCAAGTGTGTGTGTTTGTCTCTGCTGCTTGACTTCATGGGATTCACCCTCCAGTTCCAACTGCCCTAAACAGAGCCCCTTCCAAGCACCGCTCTTCACCGGCGGCAACAGCTACCTATTCAAGATGCCTCACTCACACAGAATCTGCCTTAGGAAAGTTAATATATTTTAAATTATTTTAAAAGAAACAACACCTTACTCTTTGGCTTTTCTTAATTGATACGTTAAGGGGCAGTGTTAACAGTGTACAGTGTGTGTGTAGAGGAGTCTCCTCTATCATTTGAAGAAAACATTGCAAAACGAAGCTTTCATTGAAGGGAGAAAAGAGAACAAGAAAACTTGTCTCCGTTCCTTTTTTTCCCAAACAGCACAAAGGGAGAGCGGGACACTAGTGGGCAGTTCAGCCATGTGGCTGAGATTTGCCTCCAGCCCTGACCACTTGGCCACAGCTTCAAACTCCACTGGGAACCTTGGGGAACAAGCTGTCCATGGACAAGAAAACGATTTCTCCCTTAGACAGCACACGCTCAACTTGAAGGTTCATCGTGCTAAGAGTGTCTCCACCTCAGATGCATCTTACACAGCTAATCTGAGAAACAGCAGGTTGGTCATGGCGCACCAGGTGCCCTCCAGTGTCCATAGCTGGCTCAGGGCATGTGCATGGTTCTTTACCATTGTACAGAGACCTGTAGGCAACAGTCTGAGGTTTCTAAGGACAGCCTCCAAGGAGAGCTTATCCTGTGACACTAGCGACAAAGGCCTTGACAGGAATGCAGGTGGGCAGGCCAGCAGGCATGGAACACTGAGCGAGCACCTATTACTGTGGAGGATTGTGTAAGCGCAGCCCAGCTGCAGACAGGAACACCACAGCATCCCACCCCTCTCTGACAAGTGAGGCTTCCACAGCCACTGCCTCAGAAAGGCACAATCTGAAGGCTAACTGTATCTTTACAGTTTCAATAGAATTTGGAACCTGCAGGAAAGTCTTCAGAAAGATAGGTGTTTTGTTTCTGATAGGATTTATCTCACTAGGCTGGCAATGCTGCCTCAGCCTCCCAAGTACTGAGATGATAGGTATATTACCACAGAATAGTTTTGGTCAGAAACCCATTAGCACCCATTTAAAGCAGATACAAAGTGAAAAGGTTTAACATCGCAGATGCAAGTCTTGAGCTGGAAGACACCTGAAGCGTGTTCAACTTGAACATCACACTGCAGACCTAACTGACCTGAGTTAAGGTCAGTTTTGTCATCCCAGCAGACTTTAAAGCATCCCCCTCCCCAAAAAAGATTTATTTTCCCCTACAAAAGACAAGCAGCATAGATAGTTATACATTAAAGTCGCTCTGTAGTTCCCAGCTCCAAACAGCCACAGATAGCACTGCCCAAGTGCCTGGGGAGAGACTTCTGTGACTGGCTTTATTCAGCAGTACAGGGCAGTACTTCACCAGTAAGCAAGTCCTCTGTCCTCGAGGCAGGGCCGGCAGGGTTGGAGTGACTAGGCCTCTGAGACAATCAGGTCTCTGGTGACTTGAAAAGCAGCAATGAGGGAGCTCAGCTGTATCTTCTCACTGGTGCCGACGGAGAGTCTGTACCTGAAGACACCGGCCCCAGGTTGAGAATAAAGCACACCAAGGCCCCGCCTATGAGCTCGAGAATGTGAGAGCTGCTGGGGCCTGACAAGGGGCGCCAGAGTCGACAAAACAGTCTCTTGCCTCAATACTCAGCTATTGATTGACAGACTGAAAACCCAGCACCAGCAGGTTCTGCGTTCCCCCCACCTCAACCTCCACGGACAGCATGGTGTGTGTGATCAGGGCTCACAAACTGTGACACGAGGAGCTTCGGAAGGGAGCTGGAGGGTCGTGGTTAGGCAATAACGCAGGGCACTGGCATCATCTTGTCACTTTAAATGCCACCGAAAGCAAAATCACTCCCAGCGTAGTTATAGGAAATGACCCAATTTGTCTACACGAGCCAGTGACAGCCTGCTGGAGCTGGTAATACTGACATTTGGTCAGGGCCCAGTGTGCTGTCCACGTAAATGATAGCTACCGATGTCACTAGGGACTAATGACAGTGTTTACTGAGCTGGGCAAAGTGGAAAATTGAGCTTGTTTGCTTTTCCTCCACTGTGCTCCTATATAGCACAATGCCTTAATAAGCAGGGTAGCTGGGCACCCCCAAATGACCTGCATACTCCACCTGAGGCAGAGTCACAGGCTAAAGCTTTGAGGACTGAAGGGACCCTCCTGCTCAGACATGGGACTGAGTTGCGCTTGCCCTCTGTACTGCCTCCTTGTGCTCTGCAGGCAGGACATAGCCTTCGCCACATTCCATTTGGCACTACCCCAAACTGGATGGCCTGTACCTGAAGGGCATACAATCCAAAGCCACACCAGCTGAAACTAAAAAGCTTACAGCAGGAGAGGGGTCAGCCAAAGAACTGAAACTGGGAAAACACTCACTCAATGTCTGCCATTTTGGTCAATAAATGTATCCGAACCGAAGATGGAAAGTCAACTGGGGAGAAAAAAGAACCAAGTGAGTAAGGTCTGTCACTTCTTAATATAAAACAAACAGAGGAAAAGCTGGGCTTAAACATCACACACATGGGGCTTCTGACAGGGCTGAGCTTCAGGCCCATTACAAGCCACCAAACCAATAAGCTAAGGAAGGTATACCCACAGGCTATAGGCTATTTTGTGATTTTTGTTTTGGGGTGTAGTTCAGTGGAAGAGTGTCTGGCTACCATGCATTAGGAGATAAATTCCATTGCCTGTATCACCAAAAACAAACAAGAAAAGAACCCTCAATCACACAAATAGTCATCATTTCCTAGTCCAGTGATCCTAAGGACACAGACAAGTCAACACTGTCCATGGTGGGTGACAGATACACAGTAACTAGGAAGCCAAACTTAAGCAATAGGTTCCACACGAGCATAGTACTGGTTGCCTGATGGAGCCTCTTCATTTGAAGGAGGCTGCTGTCTGGAGAAAAGCTCCCAAAAGGCTATATGGAGGGGCTCCCTGGAGAATCTCTTCTAAAAGTTGGCATGTGGCTCTCCCTACCCCCACCCCATGCTGATTGAATTATCTGGGGGCGACTCCCAGGTATGGCCCAAGCTGAGATTGATCCCCGGAACAAGGCAGGAAGTGGGAACTTAAACGAGGTCTGTGGACATAGCCCAGATGGTAGTACAGGCATATACAAGGCCCTGGGTTCAATCCCTATGTGGGGGGCATATAACAAGAGCGAAAGTAAAATATAGCACTTGCTGCTCTAAGACATTCCCTTGAGGGAAGAGAGCTCACCTCTAGGGGGTCATTTCTACCCACCCAGCAGCTCAGCTCCAGAGATTAGAAAGAGTTTGGAACAGTTTTAACAGCAATTCAGAGCTGCTGAAGATTAAGGGCCAGACACTGTTTCTGCGCAGGAATGAAGACCTCACACCCTTTGTAGCCATCCCAAAGCTATGCTCCCCCTCCCCCAACACACACCAGGGGCCACCACAGTTACCTCTGTGCACAAACAAGTGAACCTCGGTCAGGATGTCATGCAGAGCCAAGCCCTTCAGAGTCTTCAGCTCCATGATGTCTAGGGAGGTGCAGCTAAAGGAAGGGAAACCATTCCAGAACTTGCTGCAGGGAAGCTTCAACCCCAGCCCTTGGTGAGTGACTTCAAAGTGGGGCTTTTCATCCCAGTAGAGATAGATGCTTCTCCCCTTCTAGCTGCATACAGGTCCAATTCTAACTTGTCCCATTTTATCTTCAATGAGGCTTTTCTAAGAAGTATAGCTGTCTCTTAGAGAGCAGAGCAAACAGTCCCTTAAAAGATCACAGTTATCTGTAGCCTTTCATTTCACTGCAAAACAAGTTAATAAGGCCCCTTTAATGACTGCTTCCTCCACTCAAGGCCTAACTGAAGAGAGATGCTACTTTTGGTCTCTTAAAGACCAGAGCCATTCAGTAAGACAATGGTATTCTCCACCTGGGGACACCTGCTGACACCATCCATCTGGGCCCGAGACCCGAGCCTGGCAGCAGCCACAAGGAAGGATACATCTGTAGGCAGTGGTGAAGTCTTGATTCAGCATCCAGTCCAGAATGTTGGCGATGTCAGTCTTTAGGGGGTGCCCGGTGCAGGTGTACACGGTCTCTTCTGTCACCTTCCCAAAGGCCATGTTGGTACTCTGCAGACAGGAGGACCCAGGGTCTGTCAGCAGCAGCCCTGCTGCAGTGACACGACACAGTATGAATCCTATACTTTCCACACTGGAAGGGCTGCCCTCTGCTGCCAATGCTTCTGCATGCTGTGGAGTCGCAGCACCCTCCCCCAGCCTCTCTTACAGAAGGGGAACACACAGGCAGGGAACCGGTGCGCAACAAGGTGAGTCTCAATGCTAGACATCTGAATGAACGTGTGGCTTGGCTGTCTGTCTGTCTTGTAGAGCTTTTTCAAATCTATGGTTGACTATGCCTGGAGTGGAATCATACCTGCAGAATGTTCAGAGCCCTGCGCATATCCCCACTGGACAGAGTGACGAGGGCCTTCATTCCATCTTCACTTATATCAACACTAAACGGAAACGGGCAAAGGAGTTCATTAAAGCCCCACCCCCACCCCCAAAAAAGAGCACAAACAACATCAACCATGGGGAACAAAATGGCCTCGAATGATTAGGGCTAATTTAAAAGAAGAAAAACATCAGAATGGAGGTGACAGCACTTTCCTGACCTACAGCATCCAGAAGCTACCGCAGTACTTAGGGACACTTGTCACATGAGTAGCCATGCCCCATCCTAGGAAGTGGCTGCTGTGAGTGACTTTCTCTGGGAAGAAACAGCCCACAGCTCTACATCTGACTGCCCAGAATGGATGTCTCAGAACCACCCCTTCCAGCCAGCTGGCAGCATCTACAAAAAGGAACTTAGCAATAGTCACTTCCCATGACAGAGGGGACAGCTTTCAGGATGGTAAGTGAGTTGTCAAGAAAAATCAAAAGGGCTAACAAGGTAGACTGTCCAGGACCCACAGAAAATGACAGCGGCCAGCAGTTCCCAGGGCTCCCCTTGGACTAGGCACTCTGCCCAGTCTCCATGCCACTCAATCCCAAGACCCTTTCCCTTCCTTGTAAAGCAAACTCACTTCTCCTCTTGTACTACATGCTCCAGGCGAGGAACCATGAGTTCTGGCGTCAGGGGGCCAAATCGGAACCTTGTGCACCTGGACTGCAAGGCAGGGATGATCTTGGACAGATAGTTACAAATGAGGCAAAACCTGGTGTTTTCTGTGAACTTCTCAATCACTGGAAGGAAAACCAAACACCTCACCT